CTCCCCGCTCTTCCTTATGCGGCCTTCGAGCCCTTCTTCCTGAAGATAGGGCGTTCGCCGCTGCATCCTTAGCTTCCAGCCCCATCTCCACCCGCCTACAGTCAACCCTAACCCTGGTGCCCTGTGCGCCCTGACAGGTACAATCATCAGAATAGGCAAGTTACAGGGTACTACATACTGTATGTAGAGCTTATGCAACGACTCGTGGAAATAATTATTCGTACCGTCAGCCATTTTTGAGCGAGGCCTCTCCAGCTGTCCTGAGCTAGCTGACGATCAAAACGTTAGATGGTATACAGTAATTGCATCGTCCGACGACGTTCGACATGGAACTTAAGCATGTGCGAGGGCGCACGGTGTAGACGGCTGGATGCATAAGTGGTCCGTGCGCTGAATTGATGAGAGAGAAAAAGGCGGAAGCCGATTTCGCTAGCGACTGTAGGTGACAGATTATTTATTCTCCTTTTCGCCTCCGAATAAACATCCTTAACATTACCTGAACCCAGTGACATCAGAAACATCCACGATCCGTTGAAGAAAACAGTTATTGCTTCTTTTCATAACGCTATACACAACGCGTACTACTTCGCCAGGCAGACAGACATGCACTTAACGAGTTCCCTACCCCACCGCGGACAGTATTATACGAATCAACAAATTACCCAAGAAGACAAGCAGCTCTGCGCAAACTCGAGACGGGAGAGACAGTGATGTATGACTCGGAAGAAAATAAAAGGTAGACAACAAACACAACGAATCAACGCAAACTCCTGCCTACAGAAACCGCAAGATGGAATAGAACGAACGAGTGGATATAATGCCCAGTACCGTCCCCGTCATTCGACATCCGTCCATTTCATCCATCCACCCATCTAATCCATTCCATCATGTCCCCTTCCTTCCCGCCATATCAACCAATCTCCCCATCTGAGGTCCATCACATCTACCTAGCATATTGATCCAACGGACATCCGCGATAACAGCCACACAACTAAAGATCAAGAAAAGCGGCCAAGAACATGAAAAGAGACAGCGAAACGAGACGCCTTGGTATACCGCCGTACGGGGCAAAAACCAGAACACTAAAACGATTAGGCGTAAGCTTCCTTTCACTTCGTTTCCCCCCTGAACGGAGTCTCATATGTCTCCTAACAAACGCAACTACATCAACAAAGCAAAGAAGAGAGTAGAAAAAAGAACATATAAAAGGGCAGGAATAGAAAGACAAGCGAGCGCATGGTGAAAGGTGGAAAGAACAGAAAAGGGAGGGCCCGACATCTCCATGACGTGTGCGTATTGGGAGCGGGTCGGAACAAAAAAGGAGAAACTGCTTGCCAAGGTCGAACATCCATCGATCGACCTTGTCAAAAACAAAAGAAGAATCGAGAGCAAACACGCGCCCCCCGCCATCAAAAGCCACACAGACCATCCAGGTTATTCATCGTACAGCCTCCATCCATCCATCTCAACCCACCAGGTATACCCAAAAAAGAAACGAAAAAGAAAAGAAAAAAAAAAGACACCTTCTGTCATCCTAACACCATCTCACTAACTATCAGGATGACTCTCATCCAACCTCTTCCGCCAATCCGCCAAACTCTCACTCAACCCCGGCCCCGTCGCAGCACCAGCGGCCCCGCTAGCCGCCGCCGCATTCGCCGCGCTGGCCGCAGCAACCGGGTTGGCGTCAAAGTCAAACGTGTTGCTGAGCCGGTAGTTCTTGTTGGTCGCCTCCCAATGGCTGCGCAGCGTCTCGAGCTCGTTGGCGAGACTGTCGAGTGCCGCGCTGTTCCGCGCTTCGCCCAGGCCGCCACTGGGACTGCTGAGGCTGTGGCTGTTGGCGCCGCCGAGGCCGGTTCCGCTGGGGCTGTGGCTGCTGTCGGCGCCGGTGGTGGTGATGGTTGGGCCGTAGAGGCTGTCGGCTTCGCTGGTGTTGGATTCTTGGCGGAGGTGGCCTGGCATGCGGTGGTGGTTGCCGTTGCCATTACCGTTGCCGCTGTGGCTGTCGTGGTGGGGGCTGGTGGAAAGGATGTTGAGGGAGTCGCTGGGCACTTGCCGGCTGCGGCGGCGGTAGTTATCGACGGAGAGTTCGACCTGGTCGAGAAGTGTGCTGACCTTGTTCTCGGCATCCCGAGCACGGGTTTCCAACAGCTCGTTTTCATGCTGAAGCTGTTCGAGATCCCGCTTCGAGGTCTCGAGTCGGTGCTGGGCCTGCTCGGAGTTGCGAACGGCCGAGTCGCGTTCTCGTTGGGCGTCGGCGAGCTTCCGGACCTGTTGTTCCAGGTTGGAAGCCGTGCCGTGGAGCTCGGTCCGCAGTTTCTCGACCTCGTCTTGCAGAGACTGTTGCTGCCTCTCCCAGTCCGCAGGGGCATGCAAGTCCCGTGCGGCCGCGCCACCGGTCTCGAGGTGTTCCTCCATGTCGGCGAGTTGCTCCTTCAACTTGCCGTTCTCCGTCTTATAGCGTGATAGCTGCTCCTTAAGCTGCTTCAGCATCTTTTCGGTTCCCTTGACGTAGTGCACGGCCGACTGATAATCGTTTTCGAGCTGTGCGAGCTTGTCGCGGTACGCCGATTCGGACTCCTGCGCCTCGACTGCGGCCTGCGACTTGGTGTCTTCGAGCGCCGTTTGTGCAGCCGTGAGTTGTTGTTCGAGCTCGCGCAGGCGCATCTGTTCTGGCGACCCTCCGCGGGGGCTGTGCCTTGGGCTGTTGCGCGCCCTGACCGCCGCCGCCGCGGTAGGCGAGATCCCGCGCTCCCCGAGAATATCCTTGAGCGCGTTGTACTGCACCTGCATGGCGTTGGTTTCCTGCTTTTGCTTGTCCAACTCCTTCTTGAGGTCGGAGCTGCCGGCTTGGAGAGACTGGGTCTCCCTCAGCGCGTTCTGCAGTTGGCGGCGGATGGAAACGCCCTCACGGCTGGCCTGCTCCTGGTAGGCCTCGAGCCCGGCTATGCGTTCCTCAGCACCACGAAGCTTGTCAGCAGCGCTGTCCGCCTCCTGTTGGTACTTCTTGACCAACACATTCGCAGCATCAACCTGCCCTTGGAGGGCACGAATGCGTTCGGAATCGCCCTTGCTCGAGTCTGCGGTGTCCTTGAGAGATATCTTCTCCAAACCGACCATGACGGCGTCACGGTGAAGCCGAGCCTCGTTCGCGTGCTGCTCGGCCAGTTCTTCAGCGTCCCGTAAACGTTGCGTCGCGGACACGAGCTCGGCGGTCCGCGCCTCGTGCTCAGCCTTGAGCGTGTTGAGCTTTGCCTCGACCGTTTCCCGAAGAACGCGCTCCTCATCCAGTTTCCGCTCCAGCAGGGCTTTGGTATCGGCAGAGGCGGCCACGGCGCCACGGAGGCTAGTGAATGTCGTGGTGTGCTCTTTGTGGCTCTCGGCAATCTCGTTGTACTTGGTCTCAAATTCGGCCCTTTCGACCCGAAGCATTTCTGCTGAGGCGATGGCTTCCGCGGCGGCTACCGACTTCTCCCGGGCCTCCCGTTGAGCCAAGTGCAGCTCGGCCTTCAACCGCTCGAGTTCCGAGGCATTTTGCTGCTTGTAGTTCTCCAGGTCTGCCATTCGCTTGTGTGCCGCGTTGGCCGTTTCGTCTGCCAACTTCCGTGCCTTTCGTTCCGCCTCATGGTCGTTGCTGAGCCGGTCCAGCTGGTCTTGGAGTTCTCTTTGGGCATTCAAAGAAAATGCGAGCTTCTTGCCAATCTCGCCCGTTCGCTCCTCATGGTCCTTTTCGTTGTCGAGCTGCGGTGTACTGCTGGCGCTTGCCCCCGTCCGGGCAGCGAGCTTGGCCTTGGCGTAAACAGCCTCTTGGATAGCGGCGTCCCGCTGCTTCTCTGCTTCGGCGATTTGCTTCGCTGCTAGAACCGCTTGCTTGTCGACAGAAGATTGGACGTTGGCAAGTTCCGTCCGCATCGCAAGAAGTGCCTCGATCAGAGGCTTGTCCTCGTCGTCAAACGTCTCCATCGGCCGGCTGTCGAGCATCGGACTCAGAGACGTGTTGGGCACGTAGCCAGCGCGACGTGCCAGTTCCAACTCAGACGCATACCAGGCATTGCGGTTCCTAGCCGAATCGAGCTCCTTAAGCAAAGCGACCGTTTGAGAATTCCTAGTCGACGATCTCCTGGAAAGGGCGTTGCTGGGTTGGCGAGTAGGTGGCGGAGGAGATGCTGGACGAGTCACAACCTGCTTGAGGGCGGGCTCGGTCGAACTGTCTACGGACCCTTGACCACGTGTTTGCCTGGGCTTTGGCGCTTGCAATCCCTGGGGTTCGCCTTGGCCGGACCTGGAATCGCTTTGCCTCGACGAGGACCGTGGGGGGTTCTGGGTTGGTGGAGTTTGCCGCCCGTTTACTCCAGCGGCACCTTCAGCTTCCCGCAGCCCCGCAACTTGTGGAGGGATGGGAGATGTCACGGCCGATGTGGGTGGTAGGTTCATACGATCGAGCGAAGAGGTCCTCGGGCGGTGGCCGATTGCAGCACCTCCTGGTTTTGGTGCTTGCCCCTGCGGCGGCGGACCAGCTGGTCCTGCTTGTCGTGTCGTCTGAGCCACCCGAGCGGCACCGTTGGGCTGACCGTTGAGTAGCGCGGGCTCGCCAGTGGGAGACCTATAGCCATTAGCAGCGTTCGGGGTTCCGGCCTGCCTTCTGCCCTCGGGAGGACCGGTTGACCCCTCGCGCGAAGGTGTGTTTCGGGCCATATTTTGCATTGCCAGGTCGTTGGGTCGCTTGTTCCGGGTCGCATCTCGGCTGGCCGCTCCATCGCTTGGATACCGAATCTTAGTCGTATCCAAGCAGTACACGAGCGCCAAATCGTTGACGGCTGTCGCTGCAGAGCTCGGTTCGCCTCCAACGACCACGATGGTCTTCCCCACAGCCGTCATGCTGTGCCCAGACCGCGGTGAAGGCGACGGGCCCATGTTTTGGAAAGTATACCACCGTCGAGACGAGATCCTGAACGCTGCCAAGTCACCTAGATCCACCCCTTCATCCGTACGGCCTCCAAAAATGTACATGACATCGTCCACAATGGCCGCTGCATGGCCTTCACGTGCGGATGGGATGTAACCAATGCAATCGAGTTGCGACCAAAGGTTGGTCATGGGGTCGTAGCACCACACGTCCTTGAACCACTGGAAACCGTTCGTACCGCCAAACCTGCAGGGCGTTAGTCCACAAGATCCATGACTGCTAAGATAGAAGAGCGTCAAGACACTCACAAATACAGCTTGTCGTTATACGTCACCATGGAATGGTTCGTCCTCGCGGGCGGTAGCTTCCCCTGGCCCGGGCCGCCGCTGTCGCTACTGGCAATGAGCATCTCCCAGCGGTTATTAGGCATTTGCAGTTGGTTCAGATCGAAGGCTGCCAGGTCGTTCATGAAATACCCTTCCACCTGACCACCGAAGATGTATATTTTCGACCCAAGAATGTTCAGCGAGTGACCGTATCGACCGCTGGGACGTGGACCGTTGGGTAGTGCCCTTGACCATTGCCTCGTTGCTATAAGAAGTCAGCCAGTGTTTCGCAGCGCAGTGGGAGCGAACCGACGCCCTTACATGTATTCAGCAAGTAGAGCGTCTCATCGAGAGCGTCCTCATCCTCGATTTTGGTGTCTCCACCAAAGACTATAAATGCGTTTCCCACCAGCAAGCTGGAATGTCCAACCCTCGGGCCCGGGCCTTCGGCAGTCGTGCCAAGCGGGTAACAAGCCATATTGGCGCCCGCCTCGATCAGCCAGAGGTCGCCTTTCACCGTGGAGCTGTTGATTAGGCCACCCATCACGTAGATGTCGCCCTCCTTGGACGAAATCGAATTGACCGCGGCGCCATATCTCGGGAACGGACTCGGGTGAGACGAGGTATAGGTTAGCCGCCGCTGCGACCACGGGTAGAGCGAGGCGTTCGGGTTTGCCGCCAACTGTGAAGCCGCGCCATTGCGAAGCTAAAATCATTCATTGTCAGCGACTTGTCCGCCCATGAAGTGCGGGACATAATTATTGTCGGGGTTAACAGAAAGGATAGGAACATACCGGTGGTTCGCCAGGATGCTGCTGTTGTTGTTGTTGTTGCTGCGGCGGCTGTTGCTGCTGTAGCTGTTGCTGCTGCTGCTGTGGTGGTGGCTGTTGCGATTGTGGGGAGATCTGAGGTTGCTGATCCATGCTCTGGCCTCTTTGGCGCGCGTAAGGCTGATCCGGGCTGCCCATACTGCCGTCGTTATCGAGAGAATGGAGACTGCCCGTTGGCGTGGACCGAGAGCCTTTGTCGTCCCTCACACGCGCCGTCGCGCTGCCTGACCCCGACCCAGAGCCCTGCGACCCGTCCCGGCTCGAGAGTGCGCGGTCCTGGTTCCTCTTTGATTTGAAAAGAAACGCCATGTTGGGCTGGTGGGATGGCGAGCCCGGCGATGATGGTATTTCGGACGTAAGCTGACGAGGGTGGTGATGAGATGTCGGAGGTTTGCGCTCTGGCCGCTAAGCGAGAACCGTGGAGGTGGTGCACGGCTCTCAATTGACCAAGCGAGTGTTGGGCCTGGAGAGGATCGTGCGGCGGCTAGCGGACGAGGTGGTTATGGGGTGGACGGCGTCGAGGTCTCGGAGATGGAGTCGGCGCTCAGAGGTGATGGTTGGGAGGAGAGCATCGGCCTGGTGTGGAGTTGGCGCAGCTCGCGGTTCGATTTTGGTGTTCAACCTCCTGGCTTTTTTTGTTAAATGAGGGAAGGGCCCCTGGTCCGCTGGCAGTGGGCAGCGGGGAACGAAAGGAAGAACTGGTGGAGGAATGTGAACCGAGGCGTATGAGTTGCGTCTGTACCACGTAGTACCAAAGAAGCCGCCCCGGATATTCGGTGTCTTCTCCTACCTAACTAAGCGCGGAAAAAAAAGATGTGATCTGGAAATTCAACTTGCGATGCGCCTGCCGGCTTGTGAGCGAATTCAAGCTGGCCGCCTGCTGGACGCCATCGGGGCCTGTGCTGCAAGCTCAGCGCAGGGGATTGGGGACAGAGAACTCTTGTCGCAGTCCACTGAAAGCGGAGCCACACATCCGCGCCTTGTGCAGCTGGCCAATCACGTTCGTTTGTGGGGTTCGGCACCCAGCATCTGCTCGCGGAAAAGGGGCAAATGCAGCTCAGGGGTTGAGGTTTTGCTCTTCCAGAAGCACGGTTGGTCTTGGTTTTTTCTGCCTTGGGGGTTCAGCACACCAGCAGCACTTCGGCGCAGCCGTTTCGCGCCGTGCCACTGAAAAGAAAAGGGACATCTGAGCTGTATTCTCTCAATCTTTGCCAGATCTCTAGCGGCTGATTCTATTAATGGGTTGCTCATCCTCCAGCTGACCGGGCTGAGTTGTCTGAGTCTACCGTCGATCGCAACGGTTTTCCTCAGCCCACCCAGACGCGAAATAATTAGTTACTGAGTCCGCAATGATGTTAATGGCTATCATGTCTTCAAGTTGATTCGTCTATCACATTATATCAGGATACCATCTAGGAATGCTACATCCGGAGCCCATCTATCACAATCATTTTCTACCGTTCGTCGTTTCTCGATATCTTTCATGTGATGTCTCGATTTGGCTATGCACCGGGGGATTCTGCTGCTCATGCGAATCATCGATATGGGTGGGGCCACGGCTGGGCGGGCGACGCCTTTGAGGAGCCGTCTGGGGACGTACACTAGAGGTACGGGTACTAATTACTCCGCAGTTGTTGATCTACTGCGTTGGGCGCGGTGGGCGATCTTAGCGAGCCGACTTTTTGTTCCCTTCGTGCGAGACACGAAGGCGGGGGGCTGGTAATTGAATCGCATTTTCTCGGCTACACTTTGTAGGGTCCGGTCAATGTTCAGGTATGGAGGTTGGCTCACACCCGGGGGAGCGTCACATTGCTGAATGTAGGACCCACCCCGAAGGGAATTGTTTCGTGGTCTGCGGACATTCACCTCAAATCTTGAAGTTGCGTCGGCAGTATCAATCGGGTTTGACTCGTTGAGTATTCCCAGAACTTTACCCCCACAGCCGTATGGCCTTTTCTGGGCATGAAGAAATGCTCGTAGTTGAATTAACGATCTCTTCTGTTTCAGGGTCATCGTCATGTCGACGAAACATACCAGCGCTTTCCATCATTCCATGTTTCTACATCAAGTGTGCCATGTCACGTGCTTCTCTCGAACCCGGCGTGCCGGCCAAGCGAGCTCATCACGTTACTGAACTCCCCCGTCTGTGCCGCCATTGGTGGGGCCGAGTCATGACCCACTACGCCCTGGAGTGTCAAGGAGCCCGCGCGTCCGTCGAGGTTATGTGGGCGTTCCGCGCCTAGGCGACGTCAACCTTCAGCTCTTGTTGAGGCCCCGGTCTTTCCATTCACTTCGGTTTTGCGGTTGTACCTTCTCACTCGGAACGCGCCATCCGCCTAGGTCGTTGTCCTCCTTCGGCCGTCCCCGGGCAGAAACACCCGGACATACTCGTGGGCGTTTTCTCTCGAGCTCCATGTGCTATTGAACGTCCGGTCGGTCCTGCCGTTGTAGCAGCCCGAAACGGCGCCTCCACACTTTCCATCCGCTCCTTTCTTCCCAGATCATGGTCATCCGCCATTCGTAGATCACCATGACGGCCATTTCTCTCGAAGTCCCACCGCCAGCCCAGTTCGGGCGAGGGCCGAACTCGGGCCAATTCCCACGAACTGCCGCGCTTGTCGCCTCGGCCGCCTCTTCCCCAGCCCGGCATCCTGGATCTTTCATGCGCCAAACTACTCACGCCATGTCGCATCTCCAAGCCCAATACGCCGAGGCTTCAGCATCCGCCGCGGCGCCAGCAGTGCCAGGACTGACATCCGGGACAGCTCTTGCATCATCGTCGGCGCTGCAAGCGAACGCCCCAAACGGCAACTTGGACGAGACCTCCCCCGGCCTCCCCCCTCAGCGACCTGGGCAGTTCCTCGCTGACTCAAGGCGAGCTACCTCGCCGATGCCACCGACCTTGCGACGGCCCTCGAGTGCGCCCGGATCTGATAACCCGGCGGCTACGTCCGGTAGCCGCGCTGATTCCGACACTGCCGATGCGAACAACCGCCCGCCCGCTGCTGCGACTCGACCCGTCAAACCGCCCTTACTTCGATCCAAAAGTGAACACCATTCACGATATGAAGAGCCCGACGATGATGTCGAGGAGGAATTCGATGACCTTAGCGCGAGGCATGGCTTTGACGACCAATACTTGTCTGAGGATATCATCGCCCAACTTGCAAATGTAAGTTTTGTCTCTATGGTACCAATGGTCAAAATGGAATGTAGTCGGTCGTTCCATGCGCATAGCCCCTGCCACATCCATATCCATTTAGACCGCATGGACTTGGGGTTGCGCTTCGGGCAGCCTCCCGATAGTTTTCAGTGTTGTCCTTGAAGCACGCCCAACACATGACCGGGCACCCGCGCGCAAAAGCAGCTGCCCACTGTCCTCAATGGACGGATGCTCAACAAAGCGAACCAGCGGCTAATCATTTGTAGAACTGGTACATGTATTTCACAGACAAGCGTCACGAGACAACAGGGAAGCCCAAGACCCCCGCCTTTGAGTTGCAGGATTGGCGGATGCGCGATCGACTGAAGACCGTATCGGCGGCCATTGCTGTGTGCTTGAATATTGGGGTCGAGCCGCCGGACCAGTTACGGACAACCCCGGGTGCCAAACTTGAGGCGTGGCAAGACCCGACTGTGCCTCCAGTAGGCAAGGCGCTTGAGAATATCGGCAAGTCTCTGCAGGCGCAATACGAGACTCTCGCTCTACGGACGCGGTACAAGCAGTATCTCGACCCGTCCATTGAGGAAACTAAGAAGTTCTGCATTTCTCTGCGGCGCAATGCCAAGGACGAACGAGTTCTCTTCCACTACAACGGCCACGGAGTGCCCAAACCGACCGCTTCCGGCGAGATCTGGGTGTTCAACAAGAACTACACACAGTACATTCCCGTATCACTATACGATCTTCAACAATGGCTTCAGGCGCCGACCATCTTTGTCTGGGATTGCTCTGAGGCCGGGAATATCGTCAAGAATTACCACAAGTTTGTTGAAAAACACGAACAGGAGGAGGACGAACTGGGACTCAAGGACCACAACCATGAGAAGACGAATTTTCGGCCTTACATCCACTTGGCCGCGTGCGACTCCAAGGAGAACCTCCCAACGAACCCTCTTCTTCCCGCAGACCTTTTCTCTTGTTGTCTAACCACACCGATTGAGATGGCGTTGTGGTTCTTTGTGCTACAAAACCCCCTAGACACGAGTCTCTCCCCTGAAAGGGCGCGGAAACTCCCCGGAAGACTCCAAGAGCGTAGGACGCCATTGGGAGAGTTGAACTGGATCTTCACAGCAATTACGGACACCATTGCCTGGACCACTCTCCCCCGCCCCCTATTCCGCAAGTTCTTCCGCCAAGACCTCATGGGTAGGTGCCTTCTCGCTGTTCAGCTAGTTTCTTCTTAGGCCCTGTACTAACCCGATCTCTTCAATCCAGTCGCGGCACTCTTCCGCAACTTCCTCCTCGCACAGCGTATCATGCCTGTGTACGGATGCACCCCCCAGTCCTATCCCGAGTTGCCTGACACCCGGCGACACCCATTGTGGGAAAGCTGGGACCTTGCCGTGGATATGGCCCTGGCGCAATTGCCGATGCTCGAGAGAAGGGAGACCGAGGGTATCCCATACGAATATGTCAATTCGACGTTCTTCACAGAGCAGCTCACGGCCTTCGAGATCTACCTAACTCGAGGCGACGCCGTCTCCCAAAAGCCTCCTGAGCAGCTTCCTGTTGTCCTCCAGGTCCTTCTGAGCCAACAACACCGGCTTAGAGCGCTGATCCTTCTCGGAAGGTTCCTTGACCTCGGCCCCTGGGCAGTGCAGCTGGCCCTGAGCATTGGCATCTTCCCATACGTGCTCAAGTTACTTCAATCGGCCGCTCAAGAGCTGAAGCCGGTCATGGTCTTCATCTGGACCCGCGTGCTGGCTGTTGATATCTCGTGTCAACAAGACCTCATCAAGGACAATGGCTACACTTACTTCGCGGCCATAATGAAGCCGCAAGAGACATTCCCGGTCGTTGGCGTCATGGTTCTAGATGAGCACAAGGCAATGTGTGCTTTCATCCTGGCGATGCTCTGCAAAGGCTTCAAGCCCGGTCAAATTGTTTGCAATTCGACGGATATCATGTCCTACTGCCTTCATCACATCGAGCACCCCGAGAACCCGCTATTACGACAATGGTCCTGCCTTTGCATCAGCCAATTGTGGCGGGATCTCCCCGAGGCTAAATGGAGAGGAATCCGCGAGAATGCTCACCACAAACTCGCTTACTTGATCAAAGATCACTGCCCCGAGGTTCGCGCGTCTATGGTACACGCCATGACCACGTTCCTAGGGATCCCAGACTTGACCGATGAAGTGGCGAGGATTGAGGAGTCGGTGGCTTGGGCCATGCTGGATCTGGCAAAGGATGGCAGCCCCATTGTCCGAAAGGAGCTTTTGGTTTTCTTCTCTCACTTCGTCCTCCGATACGAGAACAAGTTCTTGGTCGCCGCCTACGAACAATTGCTGGAAGAGAAGGAATACCAGATGTTCCCCCCGCCTGAAGATGGTTTGGACCACAAGATGGGTCTTCATTATGCGCGCCACGACAATCGCGAGAGAGACGGCACCATCACACCTGCTGTGTTTGGTGTGGCCCACGATTCGGTTTTTGCGGCTTGCTGGAAGCACATCAATATCTTGAGTGTCGACCCGCACCCCGAGGTTCAACGGGATGCCACTATCATTCTGGATTACGTGCACCACGCGCTACTACACTCCCGTGTGGGTGCCCAAGCACAGTCTCTGATGGACGAAATCCTTCGGCGCGCTAGGAAAGTGTCGAGGGGTGACATGAGCCAGAGAACCAGTGTGGCCGGCACCCGTACCGCGGCAGCTCAACCTCTGCCCTCCCCCGGTCTTCTCAAGCGGACGGCGAGCTACTTATTCGGCCCTCTCATGGGGACCCTCGATGGTGCTGCCAACGCCCCGAGCCCACCAGGGACGCCCAATCTGCAGAGGACATTTTCCCAACGGAGTCGCAAGGGTCCGAGTCTCGAGGACGCCCCCCCGGAGCAACACGACCAGGTAGCGCCGCCTTCGAATTACCATACTTCCAATGAGCCACTTTGCGCTGGTTACCAGGAGCGTCAGCTCAAAGAGGTTCCAACCCTTCCCCTTGTCAGCACCTTCTTGGACTGGTCGACCGAGTACTTCCGCGAGCCCCAAATGAAAGCACCGGAGGCCGAAGAACCTGGCAGTAACGAGTACAATGAACGGTTGTGGAGGCGAGCTCGGAATGAAGCTGTGCTTAGAGAAACGCAGCCTCAGAAGACGCACGCTAGGACACATAGGTGGAACAGTCACGCCGGCGTCATCGTCACCGGCTCTCAGCCGTCCAGGATGACGTTCCACCAATTCGAAAACCATATCGCGGTTGCTGACGACGGCAACACTGTCACCGTCTGGGACTGGAAATCTAACACTCGGAAGAGCCGGTTCTCCAATGGCAACCCTGAGGGCTCCAAAATCTCCGATATGCGTTTTATCAACGAGGATGATCAGGCCCTCCTCATGACCGGCTCGTCAGATGGAGTGGTTCGTATCTACCATAGTTATGACAGCGATGCGGGCGTGGAACTTGCGTCTTCATGGCGTGCCCTCACACACATGGTTCCTTCGAATGTCAACTCCGGCATGGTTCTCGATTGGCAGCAGGTCAACGGTCAAGTGCTGGTAGCCGGTGACGAGAGGGTAATTCGGATTTGGAACGCCGGCCACGAAATGTGCACGCATGAGATTCCGGCCCGGTCCGGCTCCTGCGTCACTGCACTGACATCCGACCAAATGGCCGGCAACATCTTCATTGCCGGGTTTGGCGACGGTGCTATCCGCGTTTTCGATACGCGCATGAAGCCTCAGGAGAGTATGGTCCGCAAGTGGAAAGATGATACTCGGCAGTGGGTGCGCTCTGTGCATATGCAACGCGGCGGCCAGCGCGAGCTCTTGTCTGCAAGCCGCAACGGCACCGTTCATCTCTGGGATATCCGCATGGATCGGCCACTCCGCACTTTCCAGACGACCAAGGATGTGCTGCGGACCGCCAGTACCCACGAGCATCTGCCTGTCTTTGCTGTGTAAGCACCGTTTATTTCTCTTCTCGTATGACCCCTCGGAAAGATTACTGACAATTCCATATTTAGTGGCACGTCTGCGCACCTTGTCAAGGTCTTTGACTTTGACGGCCGGGAGATCACCCGCGTCGAGCCCTACTCGGGCTTCCTCGGTCACAAGGCCGCGCCGCTCTCGACTACTGCGTTTCACCCACACCACATGCTCCTCGGGTGCGCTGCCCGCGGCGATCACCATGTCAGCCTCTACGCATGCGGAAACGAACGCATCAACCAGTTTTGAGAGGCGGCGTTTTTATTCTTCTTCCCATTTTTTCTCAAGCATTTTCCGTCCCGCATTGGCCGCCTTGCATTCTGCTGTTGTTCCTTTTCTTGACCAACACATGGCGAAACGACATGAAGTGACACCTTGTTCACGAATGCGCTTCGGCCTGATTTCAAATGCACTTTCTTTCTCTCGGCGTTTTTCGAGGCATGTGATGGACAGACAGGGGATTGGAGGTTGCGGATACCAGGCGTTCTGGGTAATTAGGTATATTGTGGACCGAGCATGCTGGGAATGGACTCCCAGGTTTTTGTTGTTGATGATGGGCTCCTGTTGAAATGCGGCTTTTTATGCTCATTTAATACCCTCAACGGTGTGCGTATCTTGTGTGTTTTGTTGCGAGCGTAGTCACGGGCGGCTTAGCCGCCCTAAGATATATTGAGGTCTATAATTTGGTGTATTTGTCTTTTGATGTTGCATATCGTACCAATACTTGCTGGTGATAGCGATTCATCTTCCCCCTTGTGATTTGTGTGTCCCCTTTTTGATCGAGGTTGCTTGCTGCAACCTGGAAGTGAGTATGCTAACCTTACCGTGGCCCGAACCCGCGCTTGTGGGTGTGGTTGCCCATTATCAACCCGATACGGCTGGCCGAGGCGTGCTGAAAGTCGGACTCAAAGCCAAACAGCTGTACAACCAGGGGTTACACTTGTCCCAGCACAATGAAGGGCCCGCCACGAGCCCCACACTTCCGGCATCCCCCAGGGGGCTCTCATCTTGAAGTTGATGGTAACATTCGAGCCTACCTTCCTCTGACGTGGTGGCGGCTCTTTATCCCGCCGGTCTGAGTCTTGAGTAGTTGGTCGCCATCCGTCACCCCCCAACCCCAGCATTGGCCACGCGGGGGGTTGTCCACGCCGAATGAGTCACCTCATCAAGTCTCGGCTGGTTCGCCCTCTCTAGTCCCAATCATCGTCATCATCGTCACGTTTCACAGCATCCCGACTGCTCTTGATACCCCGGCTCCCACCAGCCATAATCCTCTCCTCCTCGGCGTCCTCCGCAGCCTGCCTGCGCTTGACCACCCGCATATCATTATCCTTGAGCGCGCCAACCTCAACCAGGATCTTGTCCAGATCCAACATGCCCATGCGCACCCCACCCACCGTCGCGAGCGTGACAACCTGCTTGACAATATCCCCCTTGTGATAAATCAAAATCGTCGGGCAGTTCCGTTCCGGGTACCCCTCGATCGCCTTGTCAGCGCGCATCTCGCAGAACTTGACATCCCCGTACTCGCGCGCCGCCTGGCGCCACAACTCGGCCAGCACGCGAGACTCGACGTTGCTGCCTTGTGACGAGGCGAGGTGTACGAGGACTGGCCCGGTTTGCGAAGCTTCGGTGATGTCGCGGGCGTAGTCGGGTTTGGAGACGGGGTAGACGGAGCCGTGGATGGATTTTTGTTCTACGGCGGCGAGCTCGCGCATGCGTTTTTGGCGGTATTGTTCGAGAAAGGTTTCGTCTTCTTCGTCTTCGAGATCGGAGAGGTCGGAGAGGTCTTTGCCTTCGAGGCGGTTCTCGTGGGCGAGGCGGCGGGCTTCGAGGATGGCTTCTTCGATGAGGGGGGTTGGGGATGGGGGCTTTTCGGGGATGACGCCGTGTTTTCGGAGGATGTCATTCCTTCGGGTAGTATAATTAGTTTAGGTACGTTTCATTGGGTCGGAGGTATGAGTCGGTCGGTCTCTCACCATTCTGTGTCGGCATTGGGGTCGTCTATTGGGACTGCAATCCGTTGGTCTGTTGGTGCTGCCATCTTGGAGGTTGTTGTTTTGTTGATTTGGGCTGACCCTGTTTTGTTTGTCCTGCTTAAGAATTACGATGCAGGGTATCGCGCCTCCCTCAGTTTAAGAACAAGAGCTTTCAAGATTAAGAGTCCAGAATCTCGCTGCCTGGTGGTAGTTGTCGCGTCCTTGAAGGTGAATACGTACCCCATATGCCCCACCTACATAGGTGAACCCCGCCATGGATCGATGGGGTGAAGTTTGCCTGCCAAGCCTGCTTTCGACGACGGGAGGAGAGTGGGTCTAAAGGTACATGACCGACAAGGGTCAGCCCAGCTCTGATTGGTCACGCGAGCAAGCCCTAAGCGACAGTCTCCGAGGCTAGCCAATTTCACCTTTTGCTCCTCACAGACCCAAAATTTGCCTCTGAACTTTCGTACCCGCAGGGCCACCTAAAAATCCCCTCCGCAACCATCAACGAGCCAGAGTCTGCCGCCAACCCCCATCCAGATTTCCATCAATCAAGCACAGCTCGTCCTTTCGGCATCTCGAAAATAGTCAATCAAGATGGTGAGCTGCCGAAACTATGCCAAATTTTTCGCGACCCGTTCTCTCTCGATGTCCCCGTCCCTGGTCGCTAGTCACGAGCGGTCGTTCCTGTCGACACACGACTCCTAGATGTCGAATTTGGAATTCGGAAACCGGGGCTTAGAAGCTCTCTCGAAACCTCGGTGTCTATTAGAAATGGATCGAGTGGCTTTGGGGACAGGGACATCGATGGGACGATGGGGAACGGGAAACTAGGCTTTGCTCTATCACTAGGGGTTGTTATGCTGACCTTTTTTTCCTCCCAAGGTTCTCGCCGTTGATCTCCTCAACCCCAGCCCGGCTGCCGAGGCTCGCAAGCACAAGCTCAAGGTATGCCTCCATACTCAATATTGATAAATACGCATGTGAGATGGAATGTGTAAATGCTGACAATGTTTCGCAGACCCTTGTGCCTGCTCCCCGCTCTTTCTTCATGGACGTCAAGTGCCCCGGGTGCTTCACCATCACGACCGTCTTTTCCCACGCCCAGACCGTCGTCATCTGCCAGGGCTGCACGACCGTCCTCTGCCAACCGACTGGTGGCAAGGCCAGGCTCACTGAGGGGTGCTCGTTCCGGAGGAAGTAAGCGGCTCGCTTTTCGCGCGGGGCTGTTTTCTTTTTCCTCTTCGGGCAGGGCATCAATCAATCATCATGGCATGGTAATGGGATCATCTCGGTATCTGCAAAAGGGGCCGGTTCGAGCTTTTTTTTGGGCGCGTCTAGACACACACAATTACTCTCTCGATCGTCAAAAAAAGAAATCAATCTCATTTGCGGATAGAAGATGGATTCGCCAAAAATCACCCCGCAACAAAATTTGGGAGGGCGTTTGGGGTCCGGATATCTAGCATTTATCGACTTCTCCCGACTTTCCTTCGGGCTACTTCTTTCTGATTGTTCGTCCCGTCTTCTCTTTTTTTGCTGTATAGGCAGGTGATACTGCATGGGAAGGATTGTTGGCGGAAAGCATCCTCATGAGTGTTCTTAGAGAGCCCTTTTTTTGTCACGTCACGAACCGGTGACAGGGCCTTTGAAACGCGAGGACGTGGATTGCCCAGGACCTTTTAACGAAGGGCCATCAGTACAGTGGCAAGGAAGGCGGAGAATTGACGTTGCCTTTCAACGACGAATTGATGATATTCCATGTCCCAGCCCAAAGCCCCATGTAACTATGTTGTTTGTTGTTCTTAGCCAAGCCATTGCCATTGTCATTTCCTGGACGGCGTTTCCGCGATCGATGTTCGATGTCAAGTGAAGAAGTCTCCTGAAGTGTAATGTACCTTGAGGGCCGCCAAGAAGTTAAAATCTAAAAACGGCCGCCTGTGTTGTTTTATATGTATTGTCTTGCCTTCCTTTCTCACACATCGCTTTAAGCATCGTCATCACACTGCTAATGGGCCGGCAAGGTGTATTTTGGACTTGTTTTACAACGGCTGGGCCGTAACCATTTCCTTAAAGCAGAGTAAGGAGAAAGTAAGACAACACCATACTGCCCATGTACACGCAAGAAAGCAAATAATCTACAATACCCAGCCCCCTCCCTAGCCTTCTCTACATCTTCTCATACCTCTCCCTCGCCCTCTCCTTAGTCTTCTGCACAAACGCCCCAAAATCCCCCCTCGTATTCCTCGCCCCCTCCTCACTCGCATCCCCCAACTTACTGCCCTCCGCCCCCAACCCAACACCAGGAGCATACACATCGGTAGAGATCGCCTCCGTACGACCCGCTCCCTCGGCGCCCAGCCCAGCACCCGCTGTCCATCCCATCTTGGCGAGCATGCCGGCGCCCTTTGATTTCTTGGCTGCTGGCTCGTCGGTCGCGGTGGTGGTTGCCTCGGCGGGCTCTTTGCGCTTTTCTGGAGCCGCGTTGCCGCCGGCGCCGCCAGGTGATTGGTTGGCGCCGGGTTGCTTTTTGGATCGGCCAAAGGCTCGGCGCCGTTCGAGCGCTCGGTCGCGGTATTGAGGTTGGAGGTAGCGCACGCACTGGATGTCCACAGTCCGCCTGAACTCAGTCTCTGGCTCGACGATGCGCATTTTCTTGTCAAGCTGCTTGAACTCGTCTACTGCGCGTGCTCGGTTTTGTGGGTTGGCCAACATGCGCTTGTGTAGCTCGCTCTGTTGCTCGTGCAGCCAGACGTGCCTTGCTTCTTTGAACACACGCCTGCAGAGGACACAGCGCAGACTATCCCAGTCGGCGTAGGACAGGTATACCGGTAGGCGCTCCGACTTGAGCCGTGGGGTGCGACGGACGACAGGACGGGGCTCTTTTCCTGTAGAGGCAAGGGCCGTCGCAGCCTTGGCCCGGACTTCGTCGTCTTGAAGGAACTGGTGAGCGCGTCCTTCATGGTCGATGAGCAGGTCGCTCCGGGATTGTGGCAGACCGCGCGCCTCGATCGCTGCTTGGCTCGGAGCTTCCCACCCGCAGACAAGGCAGGTCAAGGAGTCCCAGTCGGCATAGGAAAGGTATTTATCACCCCATTGGGGAGCAACAGGCCCGTCTGGCTGTGTTTCCTCGCTTTCAGAGGGAGTGCCATGGGCCGCAGCTGAGCCGAGTGCATCGTGCTCTTGCAGCAACGGCCCGGGCCGGTCAGTCGCTGGTTTTACACCATGCAGCTGGGCGGACGCCTTGGCCCAGAGCTGCATCTGTGGCATCATAGCCACTTTTGGAACCGGCGCGGGCTCCTTCGTCGGCTGCTTCGACTTCTTTGAAGACTTTGCTGTCGATTTGGAGGCCTCATCACCGCCAGCAGCACGACCAGGGCTCTCTGAGCCAGGAAGGGGATCGGTCGAAACAACACGAGCGCTTGGATAGGGCCGGTCATCCCAATACTTGACGCGCACGGCGGGATTGTAAATGGGGATGAAGGAGAAATCCTGGTTCTCGGTCGTTGGATCTTCAAACGAAGGGATGAACACGCCGGTGTGAATAAAGGCGACCACAACGGGCTTGGACGCAATGGTGAATTTCGCGGATGCTCGGAACTTAGTGACTGCAGCCATCGCATCCTCGACAGTGGTGAACTCAGCAAACCCGTATCTCCAGGACTGATTGGTTTTACGGTCGCGCATCAGGAATACGCGGCGAAGGGAACCTGGCTTGGCTCCGAGGCCAGCCGTGCTGTTCGTGGGCGCGGTGGACTTCAGCTTATTCGTAGTCGTCGAGGTTTCCTTCGGCTCCGGTGCTTCCACAAATAACTTCATGACGCCTTTGGCAAGCACGTCTTCGGTGACGGACCCCTCAAGATCCCGAATGACAACATACTGTGACGGGGCTTGCTGCGGGCACTCGTCCGTCTCACCGGTCAAGAGGGGACCGGAGCTGGCGTAGTCGTCCTCTGAATCCGGAGTGTTAGCGGTAGGACGCGGGTTTGGGTCTTTGGGGGTGCTTACCTGGCCGCTCAGCCTTGCACTTGAAACAAACGGCCCGATGGGGGTAGTTAACAGTACCGCACTACGAGATGATTAGTACCAATGAGACAAAGAGACTTGTTAGGAAAAGATACATACATCGTAGCACTCCCAACTGCCATCATCACCACGTGCGTCGCGGGAGGAGCCCATCTCCTCGTAGCCTTCCGCAGCATTGACGCCCATCGCAACGAGGTCGGAATCAGGGCCTCGAGAGTCTTCAAGAGGGAATGAAACTTCGGGGTAATATTGGTCCAAGAAATACTCGGCATCCGATCGACGATAAAATTCGACAAACGCATTGAGACGCCCTGCGGGTCAAGTGAGTTAACGTCCGCAAAAAAAAGAGAGGAGACCCGCAAAAACTCACTGTCGCGGTCGTGGCGGAGTCGAGCGCTTCTGACGGTGTCGTTCGAAAAGTGGCGGTCTCTCGTGGCATAGTCAAGGCCGTAGAGGACGTCGCGTTCGGTCGCATCCTCGGGTACGTCACTCAAGACGACAGTTCGACTCGGGTCGCCCGCTGTTGGCCGATGATCTGTCCGGCGTCGGTCATGGCGACGAGCGGGCCCACGATGACCAGAGCCGGTCTCCCGATACCCCCCAGAATGGTGATGCATGGAGCGGTCCATATATTGCCCTGAGTGGGATCCTGGTCCAAATCTCCCATCTCGGTCCTGTTGATCCGAACCCCGTGAGCCAGCATGGTGGTCTTCAGCTCCCTCAACGTCGTCGTAGTTCAAGTCTCTTGGTGGGCCTGGAGAATAGTCTTTTCCGCGGCGAGGAGGGACGAGGCGCCAAAGTTAGCCTATTTCCAATTCCAACCAGTAATCACAAAGTCATTCAAACGGCGGCATCCCAAAGGTCCGTCACATGGGTTGTAATACCCTTCCTCTGTCGACGGTAGTCGCCATCTCTGCCGTCAGAGTGGCGCTCATATGGGCTGCGACTGCGACTGTGATGGTTTCGATCGCGATAACCACTGCCATCGCGCGACGGGGCGCGATTCCCGCTTTGGTACATGGGATGGCGAGGTGCTTGTCAATGTGAAAAAAATACTGATTGTGGTAGTCTTTTTGATGGCGTCAATCCCAGATAAAGAGAATGCACTCTCTCGTCTTGGAGGGTACTCGAGTTAATAAACTTAAAAATAATGAGATGTACCGATCTGTCGTGTTCAGTGACCCTTCAAAGAGGAAAGTGAAAGCTTGATCCTCGATTGGTGGTTACAAGGCCCCCATAACCGATGTTCTCCCGAAACCCGATAATTGCAACAGTGCGAATAATAATATCGCTCGAGCACATCGGAGATGCCCGTGTGGGTGGCTTCAACGTCAGGACTCCCAGAGCATGAATAGAGAAGAGTTGAAGTGAACGATAGAACGCTGTTTCCAACATTTAGACCGGGAACAAGAAAACTCAAATACCTATCTTGTTGTCGTGAGTCTTAGCCCCTTTTTTCCGTCGTTGAGTTGCTCTCACCACTCGCGCTCCGTGGACAGTTTATTCTACCAGAGTCCTTGGTGCCTGCTTTTTGAGTCGTTCGTCGTTGATACAGAGGGATTTTCACAATTCTTTTGTCTTATACCACCAAGCCCTACATATCCGTTCACGCTACAAAGGCGCACCAGCTAGCCAAGCCAAGCCAAGAATTTCCTCCTACAACCTCAACCTCTTCCCATTCCCATCAGACAATCTCCACAATGGCCACCGAACCGACCACCACAGAAGCCACCACCACCAACCCCGAAGACCCCACCACCCACTCCCTCTCCGAAGAAGCCTGCTACGTCGCCCTAACCGACCTCCCCCTCGACATCAAGTCCGTCACCGACAAGGTGCGCTCCCCCGAAGCAGGCGCCATCGTCATCTTTGCCGGTAACCCCCCCCTTCTCTTAAACCCCCCCTCTCCCTCCCCGCATCCATAACCATACCAGAACTAACATACCATCAAGGCACAACCCGCAACAACTTCGCCACCCACCCCATCTCCCACCTCTCCTACACAGCCTACCACCCCCTAGCCCTACGCACCCTCCTCAGCATCGCCACCTCCCTGCAGACCGCCCACCAACTGCACGGCATCGCCATGGTGCACCGGCTCGGGGAAGTGCCGATCGGCGAAGAGAGCATAGTGATAGCGGTGTCGGCGGCGCATAGGCAGGCGGCGTGGCGGGCCGGGGAGGACGCTTTGGAGGCGTGTAAGGCGAGGGTGGAGATTTGGAAGAGGGAGGTTTTTGAGGGGGGGGAAGGGGTTTGGAGGGCGAATAGAGATGGGGGGAGGGGGGAGAGGGTTGGTTGAGGTGCTGCCCAAGGGTCAGACATTATGGGAAGTAAGATCGGGGGAGACGTTCTTCGTTATCGCAGAATAGTGAAGACATAGTTACGAACAGTGCTGTGTCACAAAGTCACAAACAACGCACGCAGTACAACGCGGCGCTCAACAAGACAACAAACAAGACTAATCTTTCAACGTCAAAAGCCAAAATTAGAAAACTACCTCCACCCCACCATTTCATAGCAACCGGAATTAGGAACCAGGAAAGGGTTTGAGCGAAAGGTGCCTTCAAACTATCAACTCGTCCACATCAAATCAGTCCGTCATCTCGACACATAGCAACCGAAAACCCGCTCTTTCTTTCTTTCTTTCTTTCTTTCTTTCATCATATCTTTCATCTCCTATCCTGCTTCCCAAAGTAAGAAGCCGCCGCATATGTGAAACCCCCTTTTGAAAGACTTCAGCTTCACATACCATACCTACCCCAATACATACAGAATATGGAACTCCCCAACACCACTGCTGATACAACCCAACCAGTCATTTATCAAAAAGAAACAAAGAACAGCCGGGCTTCCCATGGCTAATGTAGCCCCATCATCAGGCTGAACAAGACATATTCCCAGAGCAACACCAGAAATGTCCCATGCCATGAGGTAAAGTGTCGCAAAACAAAATTCCAAAAAAAAAGTCATAAAAATCGAGACGATATTCCAGCCATTGACAAAAACCCCGTACCTTGAAAACTCCCGGACTCCTGCAGCCATATTCCCGAGAATAGAAAAATCATTTCCTGCCAACCAGCCAGCCACCATGCCTTGCTCTTCCGTCACCGACCGACATCGGATTACTCAGCAATTCAAGGCCATGTGTTCGGTCCAAACGTCTCTCCTGGCGAAAGAGGAATCTGTACGGCCTTGTTGAGCATGTCCAGGGTGCGGAGCGCAGCCTTGTTCCCAAACCAGTTCGGGGACTCGGTGCCGCCGAGATACAGCGCGAAGAAAATGACGAGCGTCGACACGATGAGGCCGCAATCCATAGCCGATGAGGTGACATAGTTGTACTGCAACCACCAGCCGGTGCGGCGGCGGCGGATGAAGAAGTTGAACACGGTGCCGACGATGCCCCAGCAGTAGTAAATGAAAACTGTCGCGGGCGGGAGCATGCCGGAGCCGCCAAAGATGAGCGGCATGTTGACATACCGCCAGATGCCGCGGCGGTAACGGCGGGCAAGGAACCAGGTGAAGACTGGGGCGACGGCGCCGACCAACCAGAACCACTGCAGCGAGCTATACAGAGCGCCTCCTGAGAACATGCGGGCGGGGCCAATGGCACCCCATACGATGGAGGCCGTGTAGAAGACGCGCGCGCTGGGGCAATTCCACTGGTGGACTTGGGTCTCGGAACAGACGTTGGGGATGGCCTCGAGGGCCCAGTTCATCACGGCGATCTGGACAATGGCCGACCAGATGGAGGCGATCAGCTGGGACCAAAACATGACGCGTGGCGGGACTTTCATGTAGTGGCCGAGCTTGAGGTCCTGCACGAAGTAGAGAGCCTGTGCCATGCAGAGGTAGCCGTAGTTCTTGAACATCATCATGGCGAGGGGGCGGCCGGGGAGCATGTAGCCGACAATAAACTCGGTGAGAACATTCAAGCCCAACTGAATGTTCGTGATGGCCTGCACAATGCCGATAGGGATGGTCCACAGCATTGGAATCAGGATGCAGACGATGTAGGCCCACCAGGGGAAATTGGTATCCCACGCGCAGACAACGGCGAACGAGAGCCCAAGCATGATGACAAACAGCACCAGGTACCACCACTCTTCGGCGTCACGGTACTTCTTCATCAGCCGCATGTGGACGTCGTCTTCCTGGGTTCGGGCAAGCTTCCACTGCGCCCAAATCTCTCGGCCATGGTAAAGGGCGACATGGGTGATGACGGCTGTAATGGCGGCGAATGAAAGTCCGTAGGAAAGAGCAAACTGCGTGGGCAAGTACAGGGGCGAATAGGCGTTGTACTTGGCTTCATCGAACTGCATCTTGTCGTTCAAGATAGCCGAGACGTTGTAGAGGTGGCCGGTATTGTCGTAAGCGTGCGAGTTTTGTACCGGCAAGTAAGCCGAGTACCACATGCCGGAGTAGTGAATTGCGAGGGAGATGATCACGTAGAACACGGTGACACCACCGAGAACGTTGGCGATGGCGTGGAAAGGCGGGATGAGCGGTGACGAAACATAGGCGGTGACGATACTCCAGTCCTGGCACATGGTCAGTAAAGTAACAGCTAAACAACGTAAGAAATATCCTTACCAAGGTGATAGGGAACAGTCCATAGCCACTGTACCCGCCGAAGAGCTGGTTCACAATGACATTGTCGGGCCAAATCCAGGTGAGCCAGCAAAACCAGGACAGCCCCTGGAACAGATAACCCGGGAACCAGTACCACAAGAACGAGCCACAGAAAACCAGCATGAACCACTTGTACCGGCCGATGCTCCAGCCGTTGGCGCGCGCGGGGTCCGAGGGCGAGTGGTCGTGAAGCGTGTAGAAAAGGGCGCAGTTGACCAGATCAGTGGGCCAGATCATGGCGGCTGGCCACACGAGGAACCTCCTTGCCAATCCGGCTAGCCCATACCCTGTGCAGAGCGTCGTGATACCGAACAGCATCTGCCACCCCCACCCAAAGTTCTGGTTGTACCACATTCGCTGTGCGATAATTACATCCGTGGCATAGAGCGCACCACCGCCATAAGCCGCCTACATGGGAATTAGCAACTGCGCAGGTGAAACGGGTTTGTGAGGCTTACATTGGACATAACCACGATGATGACGTGCTCCTTGAAGTTGAATGGCCCGGGCCTGAAGTTGAACTTGACGCCCATTACGTTGAATACCCGATCGGGGAACACCAGGTCCCAGGCGAGACCCAAGGGATAAGCAATAAGCTGGATGACGAAGGTGGTGAGAGCGATGCTCGGGTTTCGGAGTGAAAGCACCATGTTGACAGCGGAGCCAATGGTGCAGAGTAGCATGCCGATCGTCCAAGCCCGTATCGTGTTTACCGGCATATCGACATCGAAGTTTCGTACCGAGGCTCGTACCTTTCCATCGGAAGTCACAGTTAGCAACTCATACGTTTTCCCCCAAAGAGGAACACACTCAACGGCCCTTGAATGCCTAGCCAGGGTGGTGGTAACTCAATCCGGAAAAAAATTCTCACTTCTGGATATGGGGAATTATCCTCCGCTAAAATCTGCTCGATTTCCGCGCCCTTCTCAACATTGGCTGTGTTCAGGGCGATGTCGACCTCTTCCAATTCATCCAACGGCAAGTTCGGGTCGAAGCGATGCATTTTTTCAAAATGCTTTAGTGATGCAAACCCACTGGAATCCCCTTCCGATGACCCGTCCATGGACCCCTCCATATCCGGCACGACATTCTCCTCCCGCCGCCGCCGGAGGGCCTTGATAAACCGCATCGCCATTTTCCTCGAATAGAATTTCCCAGCCGCGCGAGGCTGGGCCACGTCGTGCCTTCAACACGGGATGCTCGCGTAAGGGGTGATTTTTTTTCGTTCGTTCGTCCGAGCGACAGTCGTCGGGGATTTAAGTGTCGGTCTCGTTCTGGGGATTGCCCTGGACGTCGGGAACCGTCTGATCTTCGGGGTGGTGTTCGGCGGACAGGACTGGGAACATGAATTGGAGTGGCAGACGACGGGCGCAGCAAAGACAGAGGCGATTAATGTCTATTGCGCGTGGACATGGCTGTCTTGCGCGCTCGGCGCAGATCGCGAGCGGGGTTTTGTTGCGGTTGGCGAAACTCGTTGAAAGACAAACTCCGAAAAGGGGAAGAGACCAGAAGGAAGCACGCGGGAAACTGGTGGGTTTTCAACCAAGGTCACGGCGTTCAACGCCGGCACGGGGGTTCGTCGCAGCGGGCGCTGGGGGGGGAAAGGACTCGAAGGGCCACTTCCATTGGTGTGTGTGGGATGGGTGGGCAAGCCTGCGAGGGGGTGCTGCTTCTGGAAGAGCACGCAAGCCCAAGCCAGTCTCTGCGGAAGGTGCAGCACCCACCCCAGCAACGTTAATTGCTTGACCTGCCTAAATTGGTTTGATGGCTGGGGGCAATGGGTCGAGTTCCCGATGGACAAACAGGGATTGAAGCGGGGGCTGGCCCGCTTCAGAGGTCTGGGGCGCAGGCCGACCGTTTTGCATGCCTTTTGCGAGACTCAACGAGCCGGTCTTCGATGATGCGATAACGCAGTACATAAGGCGATTGCCCCGGTGCGCGGGACGGATCGTCGTCTTCTTTGGAAGGAGATTTTAGGAACCTGGGACGCATCCCCGAGACGATCCGATCATCGCGAGCCTCCTCGGACTGGTGAGAATGCATACACTACACTACACTAGTGTATGGTATCGTGCGACAGCGCCGGTGGGAATGGGTTGTCCGAAAAACGGCGCTAAGAAAACGCCTCCACATGCAACTGGTCGCTCGCCACTTGGGGCTGAATGGCCAATTGTCTCGGCCAATGGCACGGACTGTCGCCCGTTCTTCTTGTCGCTATCAGGAGGCCAGCCCCTTGAGCGTCCTTATCATCCATCTCCAATCCATGATCCGTTTGCCGAAGATAGGGTCGGTCGGAAGTCAGGGAGGGGGTGAGGACCGACGGGAGATACCCTCTGAATTGTATCCTGTAAAGGCCTAGAAGAAATGTCGATAACTTCACCCTTTGTCAGTTTGCTTGGAGACCACACAGTCTTGTGAACCCGGAAAGACGTCCTGCGGGGCAGACAAAAGCCGGGACCCGCGCAATTGACGGCTCACATTGCGCTGATGCCGGTTGAGCCAAGGTCTGGGGTTTCCGGAGCAGCGTCCCCCGAAACGAAACTCGCGTGGCTCTCGGCAACCTCCGTTTACGTAACGGAAGCCAAAGGCCATGAACGCCATGAACACCCTGAACATCATGGACGCCGACCCTGGCTCGGAAGAGAACAAAATCTTCCAGGGGTGGTCGATGGTGAGCTGAAGGGAAGACTGAAGGAAGACGAAAATTTGAAACATCTCATGCACGTAATTCAGAGCAGGCGCGATGGCCATGTGAGATCAAAGCGAAGCATGGCAAGTTGCGACTTCCACATTGAGATAGTTTGCAACCTAACTCCGACTTGACCTCACCCCACCGCAGTACTTTCCTGCTCCGCGCCGTCCAGTCCCGGGTGGTGCCAGCGGGGGGCTTCAGAACATTCACTCTCTGTCTTGTCTTTGCTCCTGTGGCCAAGCGAGTCAGGGCCGCCACGATGCGGCTAAGAGACCACGATGCTACGCAACTACCCAACTCAGCGAAACGATCTCTCCGCTAAGACTTTCTTTGCTGGGTCACCGGAGGACAACGGAGGTTGGTGGACGAGCTAAACTGTCCAGCACTCCGTCTCAAAGAAAATCTCGACCACCAAGCTCTCTTCGCAGCTTCACAGTGACCCTTTCCCCAGCAAACAGCCAGAAGTGCTCAATTCTTTGGCGAGTGCCTAGCCGGACGTGACAGTCTGATCTAAAGATGGAAATAAACCCGCCCACTGATCGTCACTCCCTCGGTTCGGACACCTTGGCGCCATACGAAGTACGGATAGTCCCTTTTGCATCGACTTTTCGAGATTCAAGAATGACAGTCGGGGCCTCTCTCGATTCCTGACTTGCTCACCCCCGAGTTTTGATATCATGCATGGCCTTGTGCAGATTGACTATTCAGCTGATGTGAACGGCCGTCCCAGCTTCCCGGCCGCGAGCCCGCCAAGCCGGACGGCAGACGGTACACAGGGCCACGAAAATAGCAACACATAAATTGGGACACATCCGGCTATTTGCAGTTGCCCCGCTGCCCCGTCGGGTCTGTGAAAAAAAGATCGTGAATCGGCCGTGACCCGAAACGTGTCGTGTCAAAGAGCCTGGTTTTGATGCAATGGATGTATTGCCCGGCCTCTGACAGCTTGCGGGGGCATGTTATCAACGAAGTATATACCGCCTTGAGCGAGCTGCTGACTTTAGAGCAGGGGCCTGAGGTAGAAAGGGGACTCAACAATATATGAAAGTAACGTCCAACTATGCTGCACACATTCGAGGTTTTCTTCAAAAAGCAACATTTTAAGGGAAGGTCATATTTATTCACGGATATTTGCAAGGTAATCCTAGGGTCCGTTTCCGGCCTCAAAGTTAACTGGTTGCCCTCTTTAGAGTTGTCCGAGCAGACGTGAGGCGAGTCTCTGTTCTCTAAACCAATGACTGTGAATAACGGACCTCCTGTGTCCTTCCATTCTGTTCATCCTCCACGTTTGCCACAGAAGAGTTCTCGATACTACTGTTCAACCGTCCACCCATCTCACCCATTTAAGAGACAGGTCGTGAGAAAACGCTGCAGCGGGAAAGACAGACCAAAAGATAACTAAGTGAATAAACCAAAAAAACAGTACAGGGCTTGGCCGGGGATTGAACCCGGGACCTCTCGCAAGCAGAGCTGTAGGGTTTTCCCTAAGCGAGAATCATACCACTAGACCACCAAGCCAATCAGGTTGCTGGATTCTGAGGCTCGAAATCTCATCTCAAGTAATTTCATCGACACTGTCCGCCCAACAAACCAAACTTACTATGCATACCTTCCCTCCGCTTCAAGGATATAAGTCCCCTTCCCACTGCTCCGGTCACCATCTCCTCCCAATTGAAATCCAAACACCGGTTTGGCTCAGCGGTATTGGGAGGGGCGCTGGTCCCGCCAATTCCGTCGTAAATCGAAATGGCTCTGGGTTCGATTCCAGGGTCACCGAAGAAAAACACCGGTTTTTTCGTAACTGCCAACGTCTATTCCTCCGGATGGGAATAGGGCTTGGTGGTGAGCTTTTGAATTTTTTTGGGAGCAAATGCCAATCAGCTTGGTTGTTGATCCTTTTTTTCTTCGCTTCTAAAAAAAGAGAAATGTGTATTATTTAGCACAGCGGCTGATATTCGCCTTGAGCTCGGCCGTTTTGGTGGAAACAACATGTCCTTCGCTGGTAATCATTCCTACTATAACCACCTCAGCCAGTGTTAATACAAAGCTCTCCCAACTCAATCTTCCCAAGCTACCAACCTCATTCCATCTTCCCCTTCCCCTCTCCCTGCGCCCACCCCTCCTTCCTCAACGCCCACTTCACCGCCGCCATCACATCATCCACAACAACCTTCGGTTCAAACACTCCCTCCAACTTCCCACTCCGGCCCTCACTCCACACTCCCGTCCTAACCAGCACCGACACCCAATCCGTCCCATTCTCACTCTCATACCCATTCGCCCCGGCAATGTCACTCTCCGGGTTATCCCCAACCATATACACCCTCTCCAGCGCAGCCACGTTGTCTCCGGCTTCCCCTTCTTTGTCCACGCCATCGGTCTTCTCCGCCGCCATCACCCTCAAAACCCCCCTCCGATGCCTCCCCAACACCCTCTCCGCAAACCGATATGTCTCCCCCTGCGGCTTCCCAATACACCGTCTCTTCAACTCCGCACCCCCCGTAAGCCGTGCCCACAACCCCACCAACGCCGCCTGAAACGCCCCCTGGCCCAGCCGCGGGAGATGGTATCCCGCGCTCCAGAGCAAGTCAGCGTTGGAAAAGTATAGCGGCGGCTGGCCGTCGGTTTGCCAGCCGTAGTTGGGTCCCAGCACGGCCGGGTCACCGTTGCCGTTGCGCGGGGAGTAGGTGCCGACGTAGCCGTTGTGGGAGAGTAAGAGGTCGGTTAGGATTTGGAGGTCGAGGGCCCAGTCGCGGGGGTCGTTGAGGACGAATATGGCGTCGATTTTGAGGTGGGAGGGGAGGGTTGTGGGGTTGGGGTTGGGATTGGAGGTGGGGGGGAGGTTGTAGAGGGGTTTGGGGAGGGGGAGGGTCGGGGTGGTGAAGGTGGAGGGGTGTTGGAAGGGGAAGACGGTTGGGTTGGCGGCGTAGATGTCGGCGGGGGTTATGACGTTTTTGAAGCCGTATCTAAGGTTGGGATGTCAGTATGTTATCCTAAAGATGCGTGCCGCTCTTTGCTCCTTCTCAAAAGAAAACAAAGACGTACGCTTTAAAAATAGCCCGACACTTCTCATAATCCGACCCGGTAACCAAAACAGTCTTATCCCGCAGCCCGTCCGGCCCATCAAGCAGTTCTTGAAAAGGGGTATGCGACTGCACAAAATTGTCGGTAGACAACTCCACACCAAGCCTCTCGCTCAGATCCCGGACACGATCCGTCTCGTGTTTCCCGCCTCCATTGGTTAGTAAAATAAAGGGAATATTGTAGTCATTTAAAAACTTCAGAACCTCGGTGGCGCCGGGAATCGGCTTGGCGACGTGAAGCAACACGCCATCGATACTGTTCAACAGTCAACACTATGCCCCAAAACAGCGATATCCACCCCATGGGTTCAACGACGGGAGACTAACTCAAAAGCAAACGCAAAAGAAGGGGGTTTCCGCCCCGAACCTCCCACTGCTACGTCCGTGTTGAACAACCTCCTACTCCTGACATCTCGCTTTGTCTTTCCTTGGCTAGCAGAGGCCGTTGGCCGGCAGGCAACGACAATAGAAAAGCTAGCTTGGAAGCATTTCGGCCGGGTCGTCAATGGTGGCAAACGCCCTGGGCGAGCCCGTGTTGGGAGAGAGGTGGCTAGTCCTCGGAGAGAGCGCCTATATGATGGTTAGGTATGACCATGAATATTTATCTCGGTGATTGTTTGCTCATTTCAGGAGAACAAACACATTGGTAAGGAACTTGAAAGGAACACGCGAGGCAAACCATACCTCAAAAGGGGCGCTATAACGCTCGCCATACTTCTCCGCTTCAACCCTTCTCCAGCCCTCTTCTTGTTTCCTTCTCCCTGTCTAATTCGGTTGACCCAATATGTACCTGCGGCGACCGAGATAACGTGTCAAAGCTCTGGAAACCAAGCAAACTACCCCCAAAACTCCCGACGGTTAAGCCAAGTATTGCCCTAGCTGGTGTCCTATCTGGATGTGCGAAAGCTAGCCATGTGATGTGTCTTAATAAAATGTACCGATGAGATGATGGGATGAGACCACGGAGGAGGAGATGAGACGAGACCGGATCAAGCCCGGAGAAATGGAAGCTTTGCCATGCAATCGGGGCGAACGGGTGGAACTTCCAGGAGGTCGTAAAGCGGGGCCCCCACTACTACACGTACAGTATGAACGACCCACTGCGAGAGCTCTAACATCAACGATCAAAGAGACGTCAAGTTTCTCCAACACAGTACACAGAAATTCCACTCACGATATAATAAACCCCAATCCTAGACTGCACATACCAAATCATTCCATTCATTCCATCACAATAATAAGCACTGGGGTAACCCCCTACAATTACATACAACAAAAAACACAAAAGGTTCCGTTTCCTCCGTTTCCTCCAACCCGCTGTTTGTTCAACGACTCCCACAAAATTCTTGCCCGCTAGGATTTCCTGACTGACAACCTGAGCATCGGATGGCTTATCCTCATCCCTCCGGCTCCCCCCCATCTTTCCCAACATGTTCCACGACATAGCGTTGCCCACCACCAAACCTACCCAAAGCCTCCGCATTACAATTATATTAACCACCGCGGTTCCATGAACCGCTTCTTTCCACCGCTCCCAATCCTAACTAGCTCGGCAACGCTTCGTCCTCGTGGGACATGTAGGAAAAGACAAGGAAGATAGAGGGAGGTAGAACCCAATATCAAGGAGGGTTATTCGTCGGGCCGGCGCGTGGCAAAAGAGATTCGATTCGCATGCCGTGGGAGCTTTTGAGCATGCCATGCTGTGTGTACTGCAGTTGTATCATGCCGTGCCGAGGTCGATATCCACGTTGATGACCGTATCGCTCCATCGCTTGACCGCGTCGTAAAACCATGTTGTGGGCAGCGTTCTCGTTTCGTCGTCGTAACGACTTCTGGAAAGGAGAGAAAAAGAGGAGACAGAACCGATCAAAATCGCTAGTCCACCGCCCTTCGCGGGGCGTCTGAACAAGCGTTTCCCACATCAAAACTTTTTTCTGCGGTCCAGATGATCCCCTCGCCGGCTCAGTTAGTGCCACGCTCTTGTTCCTAGTTGAGGCCTCGATACATGAAGCTTGACCTCTTGAGGGGTGATGAGGTGAGGCAATCTTGATGCCGGCAGCGGGCCTCAACGAACGAAGGGAAGAACTGAAAGCGATGACAAGCCGAGGGCGAGGGGATGTAATAAAAGAGAGGTAAGAAAGATAAAAAATCAAAATCAATACGAGAAAAATAACGAAAATCAATAACACAACGGTTGATGCATCCCCCGGACTAACCCCCTTCCTCTTTCATGAGAAAACGCCTCGCCAAAAAGACAGAACAAGACAACAACAACAACAACCAGATCGAAAATACGGAAAAAGAAAACCACAATGCCAAACACAACTTGAAAATTCCATGGAGAAATCTGATCCTGTCCGGTCCCGAATTCGTATGCACAGAAATGTCGTCCGTCGTCTGTCATGATGATCTTGAAGAAAAAACATCAGAGATATCGCAGGTGTCGGCGTCGTCCCAGCGAAGAGAGACAACGGCTGGGTGTAAGGGGCCAACCACCCCTTTCCAAACGCTCGAGTATGAGCTGGCGGGAAAATAGGTCTAAGCCGAGAGAAAAACATAAAGAGGTAACATTGAAAATGTCTATTGAACCCTTGTCGTCATTTGGTCATGATGATTTTGTTGTCGTCCGAGCTCCTATAGAGTGTGATCTGTGGCCGGAGGTAGAGAAAGAGAGAGACCGCCTGCTCAAGCGCGGCTCACGTGGCTCACCGAGGCGCGGCTGCGCTCATCTTCCTCCATCACGTCGCTTAGTCTGGTTGGGTGGTGGTGTCGGGGCATTGTCTCCCAACCAGGGACGGCGAAGCCTTGGCCGGAATACTCGGGGGTGGGGTTGGTGTGCGTGCCTGCCCATTGCGAGCTAGAGGGGGGGTAGCTAGTCGGTGCTTGCGAAACAGGGGTATCGTCGTCATATTCCTCCGCGCCGGCGTCTGTCCTTCGAGCTCGGCTAGGTGAAGTGGACGGGCTGTGGAAGGGAATCTTGTTGCCGTGTTCATCTGTCAGGTAGTTGCCTCGCGAGTCGATCATGTATTCGCCTCCTTCGCTATACCCGCCTTCAGAGCCCGCACCATAGTCGCCCGCGTCGTGACCGGTGGAGTCTTGCTGTTGTTGGTAGTACCGAGCGCTGGGGTCGCTGGCTGACACGGGCGACTCCGGCATGCTGTACGAGGCTGTAGGCGCGCTTGGGACATGGGGCGCAGCGGTATACGATGGATACTGGCTTCCTTGAGCAGCAACATAATCGGAGGTGTCTGCGGCTTGACTAGTGGACCGGTTGTGCCGGCTGGAGGCATGGCTCGGAGCGCTTTGCGTCATGGGGACCACTTGCACTCCACCGACGATGGTGGGCTGGCCTTGTTGGAGCGAATTGGTACGGTCACGCTCTTCTTGTTCACGGCGGCCAAGCTCCTCCCAGGCGCGGCGGGCCTCCTCCTTGGAAATGTGCAGCTCCCGCCTCATCTCGGTCACCAGCTTCTGGAGCTTGGCATTCTCGGCTTCGTGTTGCGCAGCACCGCGAACGGCGTCGGTCCTCGCTTGCCTTTCTTGCTCCATCTGGGCTTCCAGCATGGCATTGACTTCTTGGTTGCGCTCCAACTCGGCGCGAGTCTCAAAGAACCACCGCTGGAATTTGCGCTCGGAACTAGCACGGAGACGCTGCAGCTCGACAACGGCATGAAAGAGGTTCGCCCCGGCAGCGGAGAGATCCGCAACCTGGCGAGATAGTTGCGTGCTGATGGGGTTGCGCTCGGCCTCGTCCGTATTCTCTTGCAACCGCCGAAGCCAGAAGCTCGTCATGCCCTCCCAATGAGCTGAGAGGGCTTCCCAGCGCTCAAACGCATGGGGGAACGTGTTCTTGATACGTGCCGAGCCCATGGCTTGAGAAGGGTCGACTGTCTGCGGCGGAATTGCAGGGTTGTTGACATTCTGTTGGGGCGGGTTGGGGAAACTCTGTGGTTGCTGTTGTTGTGATGTTGCGGGAACACGGGTCGGGCGTAGGGGTTGTACATTTGGTGAGGGTTGTTGTGCGGAGGATGAAGGCATACCACCTGGAATTCGTGAGGATTGTGCGGCGGCTTCTTGCGCCCGTTGCTGCCGACGTTGCGTGGCGAGGTCCGGTGTAGCAGCAGTCACAGCAGCAGCAGCCGCCCGCTGCTGTTCTGCCACCCGTCGTTGTGTTTCTTCCAGTAAGCGAGCCTCTTCCTCGGCGCGGGCGCGCTCTAGCTGTTCGCGCTCTGCTCGCTGCCGTGCTTCACGCTCCAACCTATCGCGCATGATCATACGAGGGCCACGGATCGCCTGTGACGGAGAACCGGTCTGAGCAGGTGGTGCGGTCGGCCGGGAGGAAGATGGCGCATGGCCGTTGGTGGTGGCTGGCCCGCCGGCGCTGGCGATAAGGTCGGCCATCGAAGCGTTCTCCTCGACGGGGTCCGCAGAGAAAGGATTCGGTTGTCGGAGTGCTTCCTCGAGGGCCCAGAGGATAGCGCTCTTGGTGTTCTTGGAAAGACGGACGGCCGGGTAAGGCGAGGTTCTTGCGGAAGAGGGGTCTTGTGGGTTCGCAGCGAATGGGGACGGGAGAACGGGGGAGTTGTCTTCGGGATCGTCACTGAGCTCCTGGGAGAGCTGTCGCCGGAAAGATTGGAAGCTGTGCGCAGCCGGTCTTGCTTGTTGCGCCGGGCCACCAGCTGTGGTGAAGTGAGGCGGCGGGCTAATACCAACGGTGGCTGCCTCAAGATGGGCCCGGCGGGGTGCGGTATCGAGTGGCCGGGGGCTGGGGGTCGGGCTGGGGCTGGCCGAGAAGCGGGGGGTTCGGCGGAGGGTCCGCTGGGAAGATGAAGTGGGTGGTCTGTTGTCGTTGTTGCTGTCGTAGCCGTCGTCTTGCTGGGGCGTCACGACGTCTTGTCGGCGCGGAAGCGGCCGTTGTTGGCGTTGGAAGAAGGGGGCTATCGGGGATTGGTGGTCGTGGGACTCGCTGGGGTTACGAGGGGACGACACTTCTTGACTGCCAGCAGCAAGGCCTCCCAAAACACCAGCGGGTGCTGGTGTGGTAGACAAGGCGAAAGGTCACCACACGTGGTGGTGACGTGATTTAGCTTGCTACGGCCCGGAACTGTCAGGCGAAGCAGGGTTAGAAGCTGGCGATGCATACAGGGGGAACGGTTGTCACCTCGGTGTTGCGGATCAGCCGAGGAGAGACAACTCACACTAGGGGGAGGAGGGAGTGGCTGGGGGCTGGGACGATCCTCCGTTTGCCGTCTGTCCTCGAGAGGGAGGAGCAGGAGAAAGGAACGAAGGCTGTCGGAATGAATGGGGGAGAATTGGAGCGGAAGAGCCTGCTCTCAGACACAATTCGCAGCAGGGGACCCGCGGGGCGAACAGCTGGAACTGAACTGTCCAAACCCAAAGCTGGGACGTTGAGGTGGGCTGTGTGGTTGGGCGGCGCTGTGCGAAAATGCGGGAGGCGGGACTCAAAAAATGCGTGGCTGGCAAGAGGCCAAAAGTTGCTTCATTTGGATGCGGCGTGCAGGAGGTCGGGTCCGCAAGCGCCAAAGGCGAAAAATAGAAAAAGGAGTGACTGGTCGCGCGTTGTCAAAGCATCTGGCGCCTGGGTATTTGTCGGAGCCTGCGACAAAAATTGAGAGAGTGTGTATTTGGGGGGGTGTGTGTGTGAAGCTAGCTGTTGTGGTGGTTTTGTCGCATTAGCACCTTCGCACCTTTAAGCATCCGTGCTGCGTTGTTTGGATTCGCGATGCTGGCGGCCCGACCGGCTTTCGCGGCCACCGTCACACCCGACTCGCTGCACTCACCGCTTTCTGAGTACCGCGTCAGGCGCTTGCGTACGGTTCAAAACGAAGGACTGTGGGAGTAGAGTGCCTGGCTGCTGGAACAGGGCATACTCAGACTCCAATGGCTCAAAACGAGTGCGTAAATCCGGTGAAGCTCGACGGGATACTGGAGCTGGTGAAATTTTGGGATTGCAAGAAGGTCGGTCAAGGAGCTGGGCCCTGCCGAGAGCAAAGTTGCCGGCTAGAGAAGCGCGCTAGCTGGGAGTGCACGGGCCTGAGTTCATGGAGCTTTGGAAACAGCGCAAAGTCAGTGGTTCGCTTCGTTTGGTGCTTGGGCCACTCGTCGTTTGCTGGCAACTGAAAACAGTCAAACACACAGAAGTGAGGGAGCTTCGGCTAGAAAGACCCTTGTGAAAGGTGTTGAGGGCTTCAAAAATCTGACCGCAGACCTGGGAAAAAGGCGGCATAATCCAACTACGAGCTGCGTGTCCCACTCAAAAGGGAGGGCGCACCCCGGGTCCCACATCAAATCAAGGCTTCACCGATTATGCTGCGTCTCGGCCGCGGCAACTCGAGACCTGAGCAAGCCAACTACCGCTAAAATCAGATCAGGCTGATGTTGCCATCGGCGAGATAATTCGCATCCTTCCTTGCTCATTGTCAGCCTCTAGTGTAGTCTCACAAGACCGACACCCTTTCGCGATCTTGCTCGATTTTGATAGACCCGGCAGATCGACAAATTGTGGCTTCAGCTCTTGAGCTCGCTTCCTAAATCGGTATCCAGCTCCCGTCTCCATCTCTTCAACTACACCCTCGACTTCCGGACGGTGAAAAGAAGGCGCCCTCCCAATGCTCTCACTCCTGGACGAGCTGACAATATCAATCTCGTTATACCAAGCAAGGCTCAGCCTGGGCCTGAGTTGGTCCCTTCACAAAATCGAGAGGTTGGGAGGAGGGGGAACTTGACTTCATGGAGGGGAAGCTCTGAGTTGGCAGTACATAAGTGACGAAACAACGGGTCACAATCCTGCCAATCGCAGTCCAGCCTCAGGGACCCAGCCTTCCCGATAGGGCGGTTCTGACAGGGGCTTCACACCCTCTTTTCCTCTTCGCCCTGGTCCGTATGTCGTTTTCTCAGCTTCGTCGGTGCTGTTGCTTTTCGTCCCAAGGAAAAAAAAAGTTCTCTTATGCGTCGATTTAACTATCTGTCTTCTTCTCTCGATCCCTCGTGCCCCATTGGCGACGGAAAGCAATGGGCATGATCGGGGTCACAATGATCCCGTGATGACCATGCGATGCACATAATCCCTCGCTTCTTCTTCTCCCGTGCTGCGTTTCGGCTTGACATTCCGTAAACAGGATGTTCGTGGGAACATTGGCCCGATCGCTTCCGGACGCTTCTTCGGCCCCCGCGCCGCTTCCCTCAAACCCCACATTTTCCGATCCGGAATCACGCGGAATCACGGAGAGCGGCTCGGCCCCGATTCGGAGGCACCCGACTTCTCCATCCAATCCAAAAACGTGGGGGCGTAAAATGGGTGGTGGAAGGGTAGCCGAGGGGCTGAGAAGCCCAGAAAGGTAATTCTCTTCAAAACGATCTTCAGTCCCATCGTCTGCTCTTCCTCGTGAACGTTAGTATTCGGCTGTATATCCGTATAAGTTATGGATGGTGAAGATTCCTTCGTTAAGATCATTATCAATCTTCTCAATATGAACGGGGTGGAATGGGAAACATCTGCCTAAAATCTAGCATCAGACAGAACTCTCAAAGGTCATCATCAATCAGCTGCTTGCTCTTTTAGTGACACTCCATCCTCATTTCTGTATATGGTTGGAACGCGTTCTCCACGGGCAATGCCATCGCATAAATAGGTTGGTGATCTTGTTGGCAGCTCTTTAAGTCTGTTAGGAGACTTCACCTGGCCCCACTTAAACTGACCTCAAGCGAGTTTGAACATTCTTCTTAACATCTTCCAATGACTTCTTCCATCACCTTTTAACAACCTGAATCTAAAACCGCCTGACGCGAAAAGGAGTCATCTCATCGGGCCCTTCTCCCTCCCCGTATACCCGTGAAGAATTCGGTGTCGCGAAGCATCGACACTCGCGGATAAAAGTCGCGTCTCATTTCGGGTCTGCGCGTTTCCGTCTCCGCGGATCATTATCGGACTAGCCAACATATCTCTCATTACAGCGTTTGTACTAGACTGGCGGCCGATTTTCTATCACTTAAACGATTTTAAGTACTAACCTAGCTTACCTTATCACATCACGCTCGCGTGGTATCACAACTGGTCAACGGAACCTAATCGGCCCTACCCCAACGCAGATATCGGGGTGGCTTCACTCTCCCAGGTGCGTGTGAGACACTAAGGCAGGTGATGAGCGCGGAAAAACAGCCTCCCGCCGCCAGTCTTGACCGTAGTAAAACTTATATTGTTGAGCCTAGTCATGCACCATTAGGGGAAATGGGTATGATCAAGTTCATAGTGGTTGGGGGTAGTTAACGGAAGGGGCTGGTTAGTAAGTCGAACAAGTGCCCGTGAGGCAATACGGCGGACCTGTCTCGATCTCGCCCTCGCTACACAACGAGGATGACGCGTAGGGGCCCTTCAAGACTCCGGAGTAAAGGGACCGGGATCTGGAGCTCCGATGTCAAGCGACGGTTATCGGATAACCATAACAGAGTGAAGACACTGCGATGCTGTCCGTGGCACTAGACCGGATGTTTGGGACATCCGACCCGATGGCACGGGTTACTTTGTTGCAGGTGACACGACATTCCCGGGAGGAGATGCAACAAGTCAACCTTGGACCGAATCCGGGCGTGGTCTGGGCGCCATACATGCTTTTTGGGACTCACAGTGCACACACTACTTTAACGGCTGTGATGCCCCAGGTTGACCTCCGGTTCCCATCTGGTTTGCTCTCTCTCCTCTCTGGGGGCCGCGCGTGCGACGGACTGTGCGGTTTCGCCGACAGGAAGTATCAGGTCGGATCTCGACAAGAGGAAAGAGATAGGCGCGGGGGTGCCATAGCCGATATCGTGGCTTATCGAAGATGTTTGTGATCAAAGAGCCTCTTTTGGGGGGCCAAGATTGGTTATGGGACTCGGTCGCCGCGTGCGATGTCCCGGATCACATTATGACTTGAACATAAGGGAGCCGGACTCGAACGTTTCTCTTGGTAGTAGAGGAGGATAGTGACGGGAGCAGAAAAAATCCGACAGAGGTTGACTTCTCAATTAGGAAATAGCGACCGTCTCTTTCAGCTGGATTGGGACTCGCTTTCCGTAGTTGAGCCCCGATTGGATCATGCCGGGGGCAATTACAACTTTGGCAGGAACAGGTCTGAGGCCAGCTTGTCTGGTCTGGGGAAGAGCGCCTTGTTCTGGTCAGTCTTGCGACCAAGCTCCCTTCCCCCACCGTGTGGAACACGAAAGCAACCTTGAGATATCGTGTATCGCCCCAGGGATGCCCACCCGTCTGTCTCTGTTTCTGGATCCCGGAAGGTTTGCTCAATGCCTCCAAGTTGTGCGAATCTATCGTGAAGGAGGAAACCCCCGAGTTATACAAGTCCTGACTCGCTCGCGCAAGAATACTGGCGAGCCACCATCGGATGGGGGAAACAGCCTCACAACAAACAGCACATCCCTGGTTTAAAGCTCCTCGTCGCCCTTGTACCCTTACTAACCCCGGATCCTTCCGAGTTTACCTTCCAACGGCTTGTCGATCCCCAGCTTTACTCCAATCGCTGTTTGTTGTTGTGGCTGTCACACAACAAGGTGATGATCCTTGATCCCGATCGGATGCTCCACCCGTATGCCCATCGGAAGGCTGAAGATGGGGTTCGACCTACTCCTTCCCAAGAGGTCTACAGCCCGGAGGCTTGCAGTGTCTCGGCCAGTTGATGGCATGCTCTCGCCTTTCTTGTCCCAGAGTGTTAGCCATATTATTGAGTCCATCCAATGGGGTTGGTTAGTCCGCCCCTGTTCAGAAAGTACTACACAGCTGACAATGAGACTTATGATAGAGATGAAGACTCTGATACAACGGTTTATCACGCTAGTTACATAGCACGGCCTCGTGTGGTCATGCTCCTAACATCGGGGGCCCAAACATCTCAAGATAACTAGCTGAAGCTTCCACATCAGTCCCCGACCGGCCCTCCCAGTCCCCATTCTGTGATGAGTGGGGAAGGCGCCCGGCATCATCCGTGGATCTCTGTCATTGCTTTTCGCGTCACTTCCATTTCCTCGAGCGCTGCGGTACGTCATACGCCTCCACTATAAACTAACAAACAACCCAACGCAGTCCGAGCGCAGCGAGTGCTCTGATGCATCTATGCACCTATCTGGCCGTCTTTTAACATCCCGGATCCCCATGGCTATGGGGATGGGGATACAGCAACTGCATGTGCGCCTACTTGAACCGCTCGACCAATGAATGAGCCGCCCTCTTCCTCATGTCGACAAAATAGTATTGTTTGCAACCAAGTTTCACCATATCTTGCCCGCATCCCCTATTTTCTTTGTTTTACTTCTAGCTTCGTCTCTAGATACGACGGCTGATCCTACAGTGGCGTTCTCGTCAAACACCCGGCGATTTGTCCTGTAACCCAAACTTCCGGGGTCGAGCACACGATGCCTGAAGCATATAACACATGACCTCGCTTCTCCGCAACCACGTTATTCGTGGCTGAGGCTCCGTAGAGCCGTTCCCGTTGTTCCCCGGAATTCCTTTTTTAACATCGCACCCAAACAACCTTCACCGCCATGTGGCCGAGGAAAGGATCTAACCAGGCCGATGCTGATGCCGCTGAAGCAGGGTCTCGTCGGCCTGCTGTAAGACACGTCGCCAACTTCTCTTACCCTCGCAGCGACTTCGTCCACTTATATCGGAAAGAAGAACCAGCTGATCGAGACTCCCAAGCGTCGGGATCCCAGCCGCCACCGCTGGTAGAAGATCATGGCTCTGAGGTTTCTGCAGACGATGACTCCTCTCAATATCGTCTTTCGGCCTCGGGGACGAATATTTGGGCACCGTGGCAAGTGGGGGAAGAGGGAAAGAAACCCGGAGGGCCGAGGCCGATGAACCGGGGCAGCACCCAAGAGGCTGACTCACGCCGCGTGGTGCCCCCAAGCAGAGGAAACACAACCACGAGAAGCGGCCCTCGAGATGTGGACAGACACAATGATCGAGGACCTCGACGAGGGGTGGTATCATGCCCAGAACAGCGGCCATACCCCCCAAAGCCTCCACCCAGAGGCCACTACTCTCTGTTCCCGCAAACGGGCGCCCCTCTTGGCCAAGCGCCAGAACTCTCACATCCGCCAGCGGGGCCAGCCACAAGGCGGCCGGGGCTAGAATCAAGGAGGTCCCCTCACACTGACCCACCGACGTCGATGCCCCGGGATGCTGCAGCAGGCCAAAGACCCTTGCGAAGTAGCGCAACTGGGTCGGCTCACGAAGGCCGTACTTCGGCAACTTCGTCGGGATCTATACCCCGGTCTCAACGGAGCGAACAGCCGACGCCGACCCGGTCACCAACTGCCGCAAGCTTCTTGACGGATACCAGCCCCGGTCATGCATCTCCCCGACCGCCGACTCAGCCCACATCCCACACCAACCAGCGCAGGTTTCCCCTATCCAAAAGCGCAACTCGATCCTCTCCGTCTCTCGCGGCTCTTGCCCATGCTCAACGCCTGGAGCACCAGTCAACGCCTCCCCCTAGGAAACCGCCAACTCCTACAACGAGCCCCGCAGTCAACCGCGCGCTCCCTCCACTACCGTCCGAAACCCCTTCTACCCCAACCCTTCCCCACGACCGTTCTCCTTCTCCACCCAAAGTCTCCGTTTTTGAGATGGACTCGGATGATGAAGACGGCATGCCACGAAGCGGGGAGGCCACAAAGAACTTTGCCCGCCGCCTCATGCACGGCCTAGTCCACTACAGCCACGCCGACAAAAAGGAGAAGGACTCGGGTGCCGCCGGCTCGGTACCGGAGCATAAGCGTAGCGTGAGCGACAAGGGCCCCACCACGTCGACAATGGCTACTGCTTCTTCGGCTGTGCCGGGGCGGGGACATCCTCAAGATGGAGGTGGTATCGCCAGGACAAGGACGGCACGGCGACGACGGGCTGCGAGCGTAGACTCGCCGACGGGGAGTGATGGGCGGGAGGTTGTAGGAGGGGGGCGGGCTGGGAAGGAGGAAAGTGGGGACGCGGAAAAGGGGGGGACGTTCTTGGGGAGGATTTGGAAGAAGAAGGGGGGGCGGTGATGTGGATGTGTACTTCTAGCGGGAGGTTCTCCGTCTTTTTGTTACTGATCTGATTTTTTGTTTTCTTGGTTGTTGTTTTTATTCCTTTTTGGTTCTTCTAGGCATGTTTTTTATGTTGTTTTGGTTCTGATAGGCATGTCTTTGGTACAGCTTTGGTCCTTCCGGCAGGCCGTTTCGCTTCTTTCCTGGGTCGAACCCGGGTCGCTTGTCAAAATATCCTTTCGATTTAGAGTTTAGCGGAGTACTGTGTGCCCATCTTCACTCCTCACTATTCTTCTTCAGAATATACTTTAAATTTATTGATTAAGCAGATAGCTGGCTAGCTGTATTCTTGGTTTTATTTTAATCCTTACTTCTCTTCTTCTCTTCTAGATTAAGTTATTTGTCTCCGTTGTGCTTTAATACAATATTTACTACTATAACCCCTTTTTACTAGGATCTGCGGCACCACGCCGTTTCCTCGACTCCTTTCCTACAAAATCGGCTGATTAATGCCTGTTTGACTGGAGGGCGGAAGCTTGGTACTATCGGGTCCTGGGTACAATATCATCTCTGGACCGGCAGTGAAGAGAGAAATCAAGAAACGGTTGGGTGCTAAGCTGGAGGTGTGTTCGCTGGTGTTTTGGCGGGATATTTATGCTGTATACATGTACTGTACATACTATACAGGTTATTGTCGGATAGACAGAGGGAATATGATGAAAAGGGGTCTGAATGTGCACTTACTCTACTGGCTGTGGACGGGTACATCGTCCAGTTCATTCGGTTGTCACTTTTTTTGGTTTTGGGATCATGTTAACTTAGCACGGGGCTAAACATGAAGCGGTCGAACTAAGGGGGTGGGTATGTATAGCACACTTACTTGAATGGGAGATAATCCACGCAATGTTATCAACTGAACAATATAAATTGTATATAACTATGTATGTGTAATGATGTATATTTTCTTTCTTTCTTTCTTTCGTTTTTTTTCCCTCTCCCTAACTAAACACGAGTTCCAACCGTCCATAATCATTCATATACACATTAACCTCATCTCAACATGTCCGCTACCTCATCCGTCATCCGACAACAACTCATCCGTCATCCGAAAACAACTTGTCCGTCATCCAAAAACAACTTGTCCGTCATCCAAAAACAACACTCCCGTCATCCGCAAAAAAAGACGCTGATCTGATCTGATCTGATTGTGGAAAGTGTAGAAAACCCGCAGAGATATTCGCCGCCGCAATGCATGTGAAACTGAAACCGCAAAACAGGAACTGAAATCGGTGAAAAGAAAAACCCGGAAATGGGAAGGGGAAAGGGGGGAGTACAGGACCATATCCAACACGTCAACATCTCGACATACACCCACCCATCAACCCATAGTCAACAAATCACATAAAAGCCCTCCGAATCTGACTCTTCCTCACCGCCCCCCTCTCCGTAAACCTCCTCACCCTCCTGACCCCCAACTCCCCCTCCCCCTTTTCTTCCCCCCCATTCCCACTCCCATTCCCATTCCCAGCCTCCCCCCCAAACCCAAAAACCCACCGACTCTGCATCCCCCCAGGCAACCCCCCCCCAACCCCCATCTTCCCCCTCATCTCCCGTCGACTCACACACCTCTTCAAAGCCGCCTCCTCCCTCAACTCCCGATTCACCAAATACCCCAGCACATCTGCCAAACACGTCACAGAGTGCGGCATGCGCCAGGCCGCACGGGAGGGTAACACGGCTGCGAAGGCAGCAACATACAACACCAATAGGCCCAGTAAGACGCCAAAAGCGGGCATGTTAGCGAACATGCGGACTTCGCCGGTGGAGGTTTGCGTTAGCGCCATGAAACTGCCGCCGGCGAGGACGGGGATGAGGGCGGAGAGGGAGGATAAGAGGGAGACGCAGGCGAGACGCCAGTGGTGGTTGTGGAGGGCCGAGAGGGGGGTGTCGCCGAAGGGGGTGTGGGTGGGGTAGGTCGCTAGGAGGGAGGCTTCGGCGGGCGCGCCGTTGGGGTTAGTCCCTCCCTGGGGGGTTGAGGAGGACATGGCGGCCCAGGGCTGGAGGATGCGGAGGTGGAGGTCGACGGTGCGGAGGGCGAGGTGGAGGATGGTGCCGAGGAGGGAAGGGAGGAAGGCGAAGAGGAAGTCGGCGGGGGAAAAGGCGCCGGATTGGGGGGCGGCGCGGAGGGAGGGGGGGAAACCGGCTGCGAGGCGGGTGGCGGGGAGGTAGGTGACGACGAAGAGGGCGGTGACGAGGATGGTGCCGGCGATGGTGGTGAAGAGGAGGGGGGATGTGCGCAGGGCGAAGGGGAGGTAGGTTTGGTGGGAGCGGGCGGAGTGGGGGTTTTCCAGGTCGTCGTCTCCGTGGTGGTCGTTATCGTGGTCGTTGTCGTGGTCGTTGTCGTGGTCCCGGAAGAATTGCCGGTTGGCGAGAGGGCGGTTCTGCTGCTTCTCGTCGTGGCGCTGCATGCGTTGGCCGCCGGCTGGGTCTGGGTTCAGCAGCAGCGTGTGGGGGTCGTCCATGGGGCTGCCGAGGGTGTGCCACAGCCCGTGACGGCCGTCTTTCCAGGTCCAGTAGCCCAGACGGTCAGCGGCGCGACGGCGCAGTGCGAAGCGGATGCCGTCACGGCTGCGCGCGAGTTGCGTGCCGCGGTAATCGCTCGCGGTGTTGGTCTCGGATACCAGCGCGGCAATGTCGGCGAGCGACTGGGGATCCCAGACCACGCCGGTGCTTTCGACGGTCGCCCAGTACCGCCAGATGATGACGGTGGAGGCGAACAGGGCGAGGTAGAGCGCGACGAGGGTCCAGGCGATGCCCTGGACGGTGGCCCAGGTCCACTTCTGGTCAACCAGGATGACCGTGAACAGCGAACTCTGGAGCGGCAGCGTGAAGTTCATCAGCCAGGTAACGAGGATCGGCACCTGTACGTTCCAGGGCCCGACGAGACGCGGCCAGAGGAAGGTCGGGTACATCTCCTGGAACAGGGCGCCTTCCCGCTTCTCCTGAGAGCTTGATGCCAGGCGTGCAAAGGGAAGCAGGCGGAGCATGGTAGCCATGACGTGCTGCGCATACAGCAGGATGAAGACGGCGATGAGCTGCGGGAAGAAGCGGAAGAGAAAGTACCGGCCGCCGTGGATGGTAACCCATTCCATCAAGCCCTCGTGGAGGTGAGAGTAGAGCGCGCTCAGGATTAGGAGGCCGACCACCACGAGACAGAGGGCCATCAGTGCGAACAGCGCCGGCGCTCGCAGCGGCCAGGGCCGGAAGGTTAGCGGGGGCACATCGGCGCTGCCAGTTAGCAGCTCATCCGTCTCGACAGGCCGCCATTCGTGTGCTTGGGTCGCTCGTGACCCCTTTTTGAGGGTCTCGGCGAGCGAGTGGGCAGACTCGCGCGGGCCGGGGATGACAGGGGGGAGTGGGAGTGTTGCTTCTGGTCCGTCAGCCTCATCGTTGGGGTGAGTGGCCGACGGCCGAGATAAAAGAGGCGTCGATTCGGGTGCTGAAGTTCGTTGTGGATGCTGCAGATGCTGCAGATGCTGGCTTTGGCGCTGTGTTGGTGAGCGTGGGTAGTACTGCGGCCCATGTCCCGGGGCGAGGATGACTTCGGACGCGGAACTCCCACTGGCCGACTGATCGATCGAGTACCCGGTGTCCCGGTCTCGGTTGCGGTTCAACGCTTCGATGGCGTACTGGATAAAAGGCGTGTTGTCAACCCCTGGCGTGATGACGCCGTCGACTCGGGCAAGCTCGTCCCTGAAGTCGGTGGCCATCGGTGGGTTCTGCATGTTGCCCCAAGCAGGTGGTGGTTGACGTGGTTGGTGTGGTTGGTATGTCGGGAGAGGAGGGACGTCGGGCACCCGCCGGTAGGGTCCCTCGACGATGACGGGACGGCCGTACGACCGGGCAACGACGGGCGGGTCGCAGATGGCCGTGTCTTGGCCGTGCAGCTCCGGCTCTGACCTAGCGGGGGATGGGGGTGACACGGGCAGAGAGGCCGAGTGAGAAAGGCCAGAAGGGGCGTCGTGGGCTGAGAGCGTTTGCAGACGCCGCCGCTGTGCCGATGATGATGCCTGAGGGTCTGGCAGTGGTCTCAGCTCTGGGTGCTGTTGAAGATGGGATCCTAGAAGCAAGCATGAGTATGATGAGTAAGCCAGACAGACAGACAAGCAATGAACTACGAGTCTCATGGACAGGAAACAAGAACAGTAGCACACATACGGGGCTGCTCCACATGTTCGTCGTTGGAGGTGTGAGAATGAGAGCGAGTGTGAGAGTGAGAGTCCGGGTTGTGAGTGTTGTGGGTGTGAAGGTGGGAGGAAGAGTGAAAGTTCATGCTTCAAACGACAAAACGGGCGAGGCACTCGCACGGCAAACCAGAAACCAGAAACCAGAACCAGAACCACTCAGGAAAAAAAACCAGGAACCACAACTCGGCCAATTTACCCAAACAGACCTCTCGGAGCAATGGCACGGCGATGATGCATGGATGATGCAGGAAGGCAATGCACAATGCCGAGGACCACGGGCAATATTTGACGGGCCAGTATTCCGGTTTCTGGGAGGTTGGGCAGGTTCAGACAGGGCGGGCGTTGTCAATTGTGTTCTGTTAGGGGAGGTTGGGCAACTCGCCAGCAAAACCAGCCACCGATTTTTAGGCAAGGGTCGACTCACTTTGCGCTCGCCTCGCCTCGCAGTTTAACCCGCGTTAAAAAAGTTAAAAAGACTCACTCACCTGTCCTTCGGAAGGGCGCACACCGCTCAGCGTAGGCCGGTGCTGGCCATTACACGCAATTGGGTCTCTGTTCGTGGCTGTCTCGTCGCGGCTGGATGCAGCAGAACAGACAGAGTTGATATTCCACGTTCCGTCCACTTGGCCCGGCTCAATTGGGAGAGTTGACTTTGGGGTAAAAAATGGCGGGGCAACGGACATCCAATGCCAAGCCTACGATGGACGGGAGCAGGGGGAGCGAGGTGAGCTGGGGCCACATCGGAACCCCTGTCATGAAAGTGGGGCGTCTTGCAGGGCTGAACTTCTGTGTAGATCGATCTTCACCAGGGACTTGTCCCTTCCTTGCCCAGGTTGTTTGTTGAAGAGGTACTCCGTACTATTTATGTAGTCAACAAGAGAAAACGAACCAAATCCTGATTCTTCGGTTTGATTGAAGGTAAAAATACTATGAAAACCGGATTGGTATACCTTCCATCTCCGTACCTCTCTGAGAGAAACCAACTTACAGCACACCCATCTGTTCACCAAGTTACAGCTTTCTGAGCAACCAAGTACATAGCCCGCCAAAGCATCGATGGGTTGTCGTTGACCTTTGGGTCATCAAGTTCCACCTTTTATACATAGTAGTTATCGCAACGTTACCAACTCGCTTATATCACAAGAGGGATCCGGGGTGACCGAAAAAGCCAGATGGGTACATTCCCTACGACTCAGACGGACCTCCAGGCATGGTACATACACCAGTGGTTCGATGACTTTGACTAGACCCTCGGCAGAGTACCGGGGGATATGCACCAGCCCTGCATGTAGTTACATACCGCACCGGGCCGTCCTGTGTACACTAAACACGGACAGATTTCATGCAGTAGCTGCGGCTTAAGCGGATGCACACACACACTGGTAGTGGACTGCACCGACATATCGAAATATCTTGTTCAGTACTCCGTAGCTCAATATGAACTGGCCAATTCGTACTTAACCACAGCCCAATCAATGACCCGGCCCAGCCAGCCAGTTCATACATATAACGTTATCCCCATTATTCAAACAACCACCCACTTCCCAAGGGACTATCAGCCTAGGGCAATCAGCCGTAAACTCCCCTTCCATTTTCCTGAGAAACCATCAGTAATCCACAACCTTCAACCTCCCCCTCAGCTTCTCCTCCAACTCCTCCGCCTTCACCAACCCCAACAACACACAATCCCCCAAGAAAAACAGCGCCCGATCCTGCGCATACGCAAGGTAATCGAACTCTTCTTCTTCTTCCTCTGCTTCCCCGTCCCCTTCTGCCTTCCCTCCCTCTTCCTCTTTCTTCTCACCCGCTGCCTCCTCCTCATCTTCCGGCAACCCCGGAACCTTAGCCTGCACAATCCCCCACGCAACCCACATCGCACTATTCGCCGCCCTCCACAACCTCGTCTCCTCCAACAACGCCTTAATCCTCCCCTCCACATCCTCCTCCCGCTTCCTTTCCTCTTCCTTCCACCCCCCCGGTGGCACCCGCGCATCCAGCATGAACTCGACGATCGAACTGGACGACGGCACGGCGTGTAAGCTCACTCCGCCCGGACTGCTGGCGCCTATCGCAGGGGACATGGATACCGACCCCGCCGAACCGCCCGTGGTGGGTATCATCGGGCTGGAAGCAGGGGATTCAGCAAAGAACCGCTGCGGTCGATGATCGACGTAGGCCTTGACGAAGCGGCGCTGTTCGTCGGGGGTGGGGTAGCGGGATGTGTCGCAGGCGTAGGGGCGGGTCGGGTCGTGGTAGTTGTAGGACCACTCGGTGAAGTGGTTGGCGAATTCGAGGCCCGGGACGTTGGCGGCGGCGTACTCGAAGTCGATTACTACGAGTTGTTTGTGTTCGTTGGCGGGCTGGAGGAGGGGGGATTTTTGGTCGTCGGGGCGGACGCGGAGGATGTTGCCGTATTGGGTCTGGAAATCTAAGGTTAGTAGCTGAAGGGGGGCTGTGAGAGATTTCATGGGTAGGGACGTACGTCGTTGTGTGCAAAGACGAGCCGTTGGCGGATCGTTTTTGCGTCGCCGTAGTAGGATTCGATGTGCCGACGGTACTTGTCTACGATAGCTTTAAAGACGCGCCACTGCACACCGCACACCAAGCCCCGAGATTTAAATCCGCTGCTGCCGCCCGGTAGACTCTGAGAGTTAGACAGCGCCTGCTTATCGAGGAACAACACCGTCTTCTCCACCTGGTTGAGCCACTTGTCCCAATTCTTCCATACCGCTGGGCCCTGGTCCCTCTCCTCGTTGAGCAGTTCGACACCGTCATGCAGCTCCCGCATGCGCTTCGCGATCTGCCTGGAGGTATCCGACTCCCGCATGCTGCCCGGCGTCAGGGCGGTGGCATTCAGGAACTGCTCAAACCGCCCGTTCGTAAAAGTGCCCAAAAGCCGAGGGCCGATTTTTTTCCTGGCCAGTCGCCTGAGTACGCTGAGCTCGTTTTCCCGGTCGATCAGGTGCTCCACCTGGGGGCCGTAAATTCTCAGCAATATCTTGTCCGGCTGCTTCTTGCCGGGTTCCCGAGGCAGCAGGGCCTCCGACGGCGGAGACACCACATACACAGCATTGGTCAGGGCACCGCTCAACCGCTCAATGGAGATGTTCTCGCCGCTGTCGAGGGGCACGCGCCGCCAGCCCTTGAGCCGAAGGGTGTGCGCCACACGGATGACTTCGTTCTTGAAGGAGACCCAGTTTTGTCTGTCCTTTTCCTCCCTGCGGCTCGAAATGGACGCGGAATCGTCCGTGCCCGCCTTGCCGCCGGTGTACGCAAGGGTCTTGGAGTTGTCGACAAAGGCATCGCAGCTGGGGACCACGACGTCGCCGTCGTACCACTCGGTGTCAGACGACGCAACCTTGTTAAGGCTTTTGCTCGATCTCCTGCGCTGCTTCCGCCCCAGGCGCGGAAGGAGTTGCGGGACGGAGTTTAGGCCTAGCGCGGCCATGTTGTCATCCAGGATTCTTTGCAGCCGGTCCAGGGACACCTCGCTCGAGTCGGACTGAATTGAATCGGCGCGGGGTCGGAAGCCTTCCAGGGTTGTTGTTGATGGAGGGGGGCCCTCGGTGGGAGGAGACCTACGCCGCAGATGGGGTCTCCTATGTGGCTTATTCTGCCGCTTGACCTTTTCCCGCTCAAGCCAATCGAACACCTGGGATATCAGCCGCTCGGTGACTACATCGGGCCTGTGGCGGTGATGAGAATGAGATTGGTGAGGCTGGTTCTGCTGCTGCAGTTGGCCTTGATCTTCAACAACAGAAGGCGTGGCGGCCGCTGAATCGAAGCCGCTCTCCATGCTGATCAGACTGAGAGTAGAGGATCGTGAAGGGGGCAGAGGGGGCCGTCCACTGAGTCGCTTGGCAACACCGGCAGAGTATTGTTTCTTCACTTGCGAGTCATCAGGGGGCGGGGACGAAGGTTCAGGCTCGGCGATTTGAACAGCTAGTAGGCATTAATACAAGCCTCAGTTGTAGAAGTAAAAATCGGGGAAAATGTTGAGGAATTTTGGGAGGGGTTATCAAAAGAAAGGATTGCGGGCGAGGAACTTCTTGTGTCGCGTGTTGCAGGCTAGCTAACCGATAAGACAGGATGCATATCAAGAGTCTCACAGGCTGGGGGAGCTGGACAAATGAAAATGCTTGTCTCAATGCTGCCATTTCCGTGTCTGGGTGTGCAACCAACCGTGGGGGACGAGAATACAGGGGGGAAATTGGGAGCAAGGATGGGGGGCTGAAGATGGGGGGGGGGGAATTGGAAAAGAATGCTGATACGGAGTAGAAGAGCCTGGGAAAGCGGAGTAAACTCACCTTTGACTGCGCTCAAAGGCGGTGTTCTTTCGCTGTCGCCGTCCGTCTTCATGGCAGAGCGCCTCGGCTGAGACGAAGGCCCCGAGGACGGTGCCGACATGATGGCTTTAGCACGGCGGAGGGGGTGAAGGGAGCAGAATAAAGATAGTCCAGCCACTCGGTGCAAACGTGATGTTCTGAATCCTGGCGGCCACGACAACAAAGGTCGTGATGAGATTTAATGAGATGAAGTCAGGTGAACAACAGATCCGCCGAGGCAAGGGATCTGAGGGCTAGACTCGCGGGGTTCTTTTGGCTCGTGATCAATTTCCACAAAAAGAAGAACGGGAGTTTGTGGGCCTTTGAAAGCTTAGTGGAGGGATAGCTCGAGGGGAACTAGTGTGTAGTGTGAAAAAAGGGGGAGGGGGGGTGCGAAAGGAAATAAGAAAACAAATAAAGTGGTCGTGCTGATAAGACGTGACGGTATTGACAGAGCAGAGCAAATGTGTGCCTTAATTTCTCACTTGGCAAAATTGCAGCCCAAAGAAAATATCAGTTCTTTTCTTGCTCGAAATGGCAGGTATCGTTCGGAAAATGTGAGCTCGGTGGGGTATTAAAGATGGTATTGCCCCGCCCATTCATCCTCCTCGCCCTCAATTTTCAAATGCCCGCCCTGCTTCCCGGCGCTAAAGGTGCGCTACAATATCAAGAGGGTTGGATGGCCCGTGCGATGCACCATTGCGCATGACGTATGCGGGCCGCATGGTAACGTTATGCTTGTTGTCCCCGGAATTGAACCCCTCCTATGCATGTCCGTCACCGGGCCCAAAAGACTGGAACTGTCGCACGTGTGGGATCGGTTGGATCGGCTCACTGCCAGGCCTTTTGTGGCTCTGATGCGGGGAGCTCATTGGGAGAAAAGAATATGCAGAGCGCTGCAGCCCAATTGCAACACTGGCCAATGGATCGAAGATTGATGTGTGAAGTATCGAAACTTTTGTGTCAATCTTGCTGCTTCCCCAAGGGGGCAAAACTGAAGAGGGGTCGGATATCTTTGTGATTTACATGGGGGGTGAATATGGTACATATCTAGTACAGATCCGCAACTCCAGGAATTGGTCCATCAGTTGCTCTTCAACACCCCCTTCCAGTCCTTCATGTGGTCCAAGATGATCTTGGCAGCCTGGTCCGGCGAGTGCTGCCGCCCAAGGGCTTCAACAAAATCACCCTCCGGGTCCATCAGATAAAAGTAGATGCTGTGGTCGACCAGATAGTCCTGGCCGGGTTTGACCTCGGTTGGCGTGCTGAAGTAGACCCGGTATGCCTTGCACATAGCCTTGATTTGGTCGTATGTGCCTGTCAGGCCGAGGAACTTGGGGTGGAACTCGGCTAGATAATCCTTCAACTCCTTGGGGCCGTCACGGGCTGGGTCGCAGGTGACGAAGACGGGGGTCATGCCACCAGGACGTTGTGCCTCTACCAGATCGATCATCCGTGCCATCTTGTCCAGCTCCTCGGGGCAAATATCGGGACAGTGTGTGAAGCCGAAGTAGACCTAAAGTAGAATTAACAGTCAGTGAATAACTCTCAACCCCCTCAACCTTCCAAACAAACGCCTGCATCACGTACCAACGAGTACCGCCCTTTCAGGTCGCCGTCCGTCACAGTCTTCCCGTTCTGGTCGATCAACGAGAACGGCCCGCCCACCTTGGGCTTACCCACACCCTTCGACGACTCCGCTACCCTCTTACGCTGCATCCGCTGCTTCTCATTCTCAAAGTACCACACAAGACCAGCACCTGTGATGACAAACAAGAGGCCGGCCTTCCATGAGAATGGCTACACGACACCAAGCTTTAGTCAGCCAACCGAGATCTTGAAAAACGGATCCTCGACGTCTTCCCCAGCCAAAGCGTCACCCCGTATTGTTCAGTTGCGTACCCCAGATCTATACCGGCTCTTTGCCTCCTCCACCGTCTTGTATTTGAACCGCCTCTGCACCAATGGTTGGTAGGGCTGAGTCTGGAACTTCGCGGGGCTCGGAGCCGTCGGTCGTTTCGTTGGAGCGGCGCGCGCGGTCGACGAGGACATGGATCGAGTACATTGTCGCGATGTTGCCCTTGATATGGCGTGGAAGGCCGCGCGGGCCGCCGCAGTTGGTTGGGACATGGTAGACTGGTTTGTCGACAATGTGGATGTGAGGATGTTCATCTTGATGCTCGAAATGGGGAGCTTTTGATGGGTGGACCCACTTCTTTTTGCCGAAGCTTCGGCGTGAGGATGCGTTGATTGGCCGGTGATTCCAGGTGGGGTGGTGCGCAAGTGGGGCAATCAGTTGATGGAGGTTTGGATAAACGCATGCCAAGATGGCAGTTGTCCAATTTCCACCTCTTAGGTTATGCTTGTATTCAACTCACACGCTCCAATTCCTTTCCCAGACATCAACAATACATCAAAACCAATGGTGGACCAGCGGCTGGGTTTTGTGACATGTATTCGATGCACACCGTGATGATTTGAAACCTTCATGTTAATTTATAGGGCTGTTAAGCAATCAACGTTAATCACTTCCTTGGCTTGACACCAATCATGGCATTCTCTACCTCTTTCTTCTCACCGGACCCGGCCCCTGCCGGCGGCGGCCAGCCACCGCACGAAACAAAGGCCATCAAAAATGAATCCCCGGCACCGGGGGATAACTGGCCCGCCGAGCGGCCGCATGCCTTGCCAAATGCCCCTCCCTCCGAGAGGAGCCAACCTCCTCCAAGCATCGACAGCGGCGACGGCGAAATCGGCGACGATAACACCGACGCCATCGGCACCAACGGCACTAACGGTACCTACGACATCGACGACGCAAGCGCAGGGACAGGGTCTAACACATCCTCCAAGATGCCCGCTGCGAAAAAGAAAAAGGGCACCGCAGCTGCCGTCAAGGCGCCTGCGAAACGCGGCCGCCCAGCGACAGGTCCAAAGAAGACCAAACCCGGCGGTCCCAAGAAGGCTAAGACAGGGCCCGCATCCAAGAAATCCGGCTCCGGCGCCAGCACCAACGAAGGTGGCGATGGCCACTCGAGCGAATCTGACAACGGGCCCTACTGCCTCTGTCGCGGGCCCGACGACCACCGCTTCATGATCGCCTGCGATCGCTGCGAGGACTGGTTCCACGGCGAGTGCATCGGCATGGACAAGCACACGGGCGAGAACCTGGTGCAAAAGTACATCTGCCCCAACTGCGGCGAGGGCGGCCGCTATACAACCCGATACAAGAAAATGTGCTCGCTCTCCGGCTGCACCGAACCCGCGCGCATCTACGACGCCGTCCGGCCCAGCATCTTCTGCTCCTCCGACCACTGCCAGGCCTGGTGGGAAGAACTCATCTCAACCTTACCACGAAGCAAACCAGACTCGACTGCCTCCGCCGCCGACCACCTCACCCAAGGCGAGTTCATGGGCCTGCTCGACTCCCCGGCATCCTCATTATTACCCCCCAACGACCCAACCAACACCTCACCCGATGCCACCACGTGGCATCTCAGCACGGCCCCCTTCTCTACCCCCGACAACTTCTGGGACCTCCCCTCCTCCTCCCGCGCACTCACAGCCGAGGAGCAATTCATCCTCAGCACATCCGCCGCCGCCCGCTACCAACTCGGCGAAGAAATCGTCCTCTGCAAGAAGATGCTGCAGCTGATAGAACTAGCGCACCAGCAGCGCGAGGCCGCGGTCGCCGCGGGCAAGGGCACAGCCAAGGACCTGTGCGGCTACGATGCCCGCTTGGACGCCGTCGGCGCGACATACCAGTTTTCGCTGTTCTTGCAGACCCCGCAGGGCGAGGCTATCTTTAAGTCGGGCCATCTCGATCCTATTCCACCGTCCCTTCACACTGCTCCTACCACCAACGGGACTAACGGGACTAACGGGACTAACGGGACTAACGGGACTAACGGGACTAACGGCACCAACGGAACCACTACCAACGGCAGCACCCCCCACAACCCCCCGATAGAAAAACCCTCCTTCTCCACGGACCCCGACTTCCCCTGCATGTGCCCACGTAAGAAGTGCAAGCCTCATAACGGATGGAGCGCCATCTTAACAAAAATGGTCAAGCACGACATGAAGGAGCTTGCGGCGCAGGCCAAGGAAAAACTGGATGGGGAACGGCGGGTGCGGGATGGGGCGGCGGGACGGTTTAGGAGGAGGATTCATGAGGCGAATCGGGTTGTTGTTTTGGATGAGAGTTTGGGGGATGGGGATGGGGGTGATGATGGGATGAATGTTGATGGATGAGTGGGGGTGTTTTTGTTAAAGTGAAAGGGGGGTGGTTGTTGGGAATGAAGCTGACTATGTAATGGCCAAGTAGAATGATAGGAGAGCGGATTTTTCTCTGCCCATCAGTATTAATGGGCAGAAAGAAGCGCAAATGTCGGGACAACAAAGGTCATCATGGCCCATCCACAATACCTAATTGAAAACATTCCAATAATCCTGACGCCCATGTTCAACAAAGCAGTACTATCCGATATACATCCCTATCTCCAACCCCCCTAAACAACCGACGAGTCTCTTGACCGGTCAGCCTGGTCGTCATGGGAGAACGAACCACCACAAAGAAAATAACGCTTCCAAAACGTAATAGCAATCAAAGCTGGGTATCAACACCAACTCGAAAGGTTGAACCCGTAAATAGCGCTCTTCATAACTGCGGGACATGACATCATGGTTCGGTGTAAGAGCCGACAGAAATGCTCGTAAAAAAAGCGCTGCAAGCAACTCGGACGGAAAAGCAGGATATATGTCCAATATGAAGTCAAAAATAGCCACGAGAAGAAGGGAAAAAAAAGAAGTAAAAGATAAAAACATAAAAGATAGATATTTCAGATATTAAAAAAAAGTTGACTCAAAATCGGGCCGTGAGGCCAAGTTGTTTTCCACCGTTCCTATGTCGTCGTCAGCCGCGAGGCTAATCCGTCTTGCTTCCATGTCATCAAGGTTGTCGGGCCATTCGGCGTGAGCCAGCCCGAGCCTCCCCCGAACCCCAACCCATACCCTTCTTCCCACTTATCACACAAGACTTCTTCATTAGTTTTTTAATCCCTCACTCCCCATGTCCATGCCCATGCCCATGGCCATCGTAAGAGCATCTGTGGCTCTTGTGTGCGGCCGCACTTCGGCTGGGCCAGCGGTTCTGTTGGTTCCCGCTAAAGACAGCACCATCGAATCTGTAGTGGTTTTTGATGGTGGTCGCTGTCTTTCATCACTCCCCGGCTATCCTGTTCGCGCGCACGTGCGCGTGTTTGTGTGTATGTATGTAATCGCTACCGGTCGTGTGACCCCAAATTCTATCCGTCCCAAATTCCCAGCGGTTTCCCTCACAAGCTCTGGACCCCCGGTGACAGAGAAACACGCGAGGATCAGATCAGTTGTTAGATAGGTACCCGTCAACAGTGTGAGTGAGCCCTTTAGGTCCGGCGTTTGCTAGAGCTGCCAGAATGCCCATGACTGCGACGGGACGACGACGACTGGCCGTGTCGTCTTGATGAACTGCCGCCTCCGGCGCGTTCCAGTTCGCGCTCCAACTCCTCAGCCCGCTGACGGAAACCCCGCACAATCTCGCGGATCCCAGCGATGCGGTCAAAGTCCAGCTCCAGCTCGTCGATTTGTGCCATGATCTCGTGGTACCGCGCAATCTCAGCGTCAGCGTTGTCGATGAGGTTTCCAGCGCGATCGTAGACGCTGAGAGTCACGACTTGAGACTGCTCCATCAAGTATTCTAGCCGCTGCTGGATGGACTGCATGACCCGGTCAAAGTGACGGCCCAGCGCGGAAAGCGACGAGCTGTCCATCATCAGCAATCCCTGGGATGAAGCGCGACTCGCAGCGCGCGAGGAAGTCGACCCCGCGCCCGCCGCCGCGGCCACTGCTTGTTGACCATGCCGTAGGAGCTCGATCTGATCCTCTGTCAAGCCTAGTTGTGTGTCGGGCACGGCATCGGGGTCCGTGGCTTGCTGTTGTTGTTGTTGCTGTTGCTGCTGCGACATGGCGGCCCTCACACCGAGAGCCTGAGCTCTGACTGTGCCTCGCTTCCCGGAACTATCGTGCTCTCCGAGATCGCCGCTCTCGGCTGGGGTGCCTTTTGCTTCGTTTGTCGATCGTGTAAACGAGGGTCTCAAGCGGACGTCCGGATAGTTTGTCAATGACCCAAGCCCTCCTTAAAACCTCCACCGTCTTTGTCCTGACAAGGCGCCCACCAGTGCCTTCTGCACACCACGTGAAGGCCGATGCGCCCAGTTGGATATTCTATATCGTATGGCTCCCAGTCACGCGGGCGACGCCCCAGTCGGGAGGACAAAGCGATCGCGGGGTGTATTCTGGTTGTGTTGGAGGACCCAGGTCCCCGGTTGCCGGTGAAGGCAGATGTGACACCGATAGCTCGAGCGTCGGCGACGTCTTGGGCTTGTCTGGCATCATTGTTCCGCGGGCAGTGTCGGTCACTGCGTCGATGCCATAACAGCTTGGCCGGCGGTCAGTCGGGTGTCGATCGCGGTGTGTCGTTCGGCAAAGGAGTAATGGACAAAAGTCAAGCGGTTGAACGAATTGTCGGCAAGACGGGAGAAGCAAATTGTGGCTGTCGCAGAAAGTCTTTCCTCCTCTCGTGATACACACCCAATGAAGTCGTCCGCTGAGTCGGCTGTCGCATGCATGGGGTGTGTCGCGTCTCACTTTCACATCCCGTCCGCGATGGGCGCAAGGGTATCTATACTGTGTACGTCGAGGTGGGTATTCCCCGTCAATTTTTCTTCGTCGGTCGGCTGCTGCCGCTCTCTCCGAGACAAAGAATGGCGACGGATTTGGTCGGCGCAGTCGATTTGCTCGAGACTTGAAGTGCCCGGGACTTTTGAAAGTGTTGCTGGGATTTAATTAGACCGCCTTTCCCCACGCGGGAGTTGCATCAGGTGACGACGGGGCAGCGGGATGCCGAACCACACCGATTTTGAAGACGTGCCCAGGAATCAGGAAACAAAAAGCACTCAACGATTACTGCGAAAAATCTGTAATCGGTTCTCAAACCTGTGCAGACGCTGACGGTATTACAAACCAGGCCGAAAACCCTCGGGTCGAGAATCTCCGCAAGACGCTGAAAACCACTCCCGACTACGAAGTACAAATGTGCATAACACCTCCTCGCGAACCTGATGATGGAAGATGACCAGATTCGCGTATGCCGCTGAATCCCATCTGCCCCCCTTGTTCAACAAGCCAAAGTCTTGGCAGCGCTCCACAAGGAAGGAGCTTTGACAGTGGCAGGGGTTCGATGCGATGCAAGACACACAAATTGTGTTTCGTGCGCGATGCGAGACACAGTGTCCGCGACAGAGGGTGTGAAGAGGTGTGGATAACAGGCGCCGCTCAATCAATATCCGAAGCCTCCATGAGGTTGCGTTCGTTCCCAGTTTTGACCTGAGTGTTAGGAAAATTGCGCACAGCCAGACTCACCGAGACTAACCCCCGCGGCGAGACTAGTGTACTTAGGTTGACGAAGTTGTTACCGAGCGAGGGAATTGCGAAGACGAGGATGATGCGCAAGGGATACCGACGGGTGGGGGGTGGCCATCAATCACTGAGCAATTGGAGTCGGCCGATCTGCGAACGCGGACCCGACGATTTGGTCGGCCACTGGGTTCCTGGGTAAGTGCCGCCAACTAACGTTAGCCAACCTCAAATTGTCTCCCAGAGACAACAAATATAGGTACATTGGACTGAGATAATTTCCATCGATTACACTTACGTCGTTGTTTTCTTTCGCCATCCCTCCTACTTTCGTCATGTCATTCCACAGATAAACTATCCGTTACGCCCTAAACAGCCTATTTCCGAGGCATCGAACAAACATGACTTCCAAGGAGGAACTCGGCGCCCCTGGATTAGATAATTCCTCAATGAGTGTTTTCTTGGGGAACGAAACGGTAATCCAAGTAATTCGAAGCCATCGAGTGCTTTGAAAGTTTTGGCAGAACCCTAATGGGCTCTCTGGAATCCGGAGACGTCCCTTCCGAGCTCAGGGAAAACGGCCGGCATGTACCCGCCCGGCAAAGTCGTTCTTTCCGAATCTCCACGACGTACTTCGAGTTCTATTTGACGATATCTCTACAACCAGGCGTCCCTTCCGTGCGTCTTCGATATAAGACGCAACAGCCCCTTGCTCTCTACCGGGAAGGGACGCCTGTTGGTTTACCTTCCTTCGCTTGTGCCGTACCATCGGGCCCCATTTCTCCGGCTTGCTCCTTTGGCCCGTTGCTGGCGGCTCAACTTCATATGAATGCGGCTACACAATCCCGTGTTCCCGCTTCAAACTCCGCAACTTGAAGAACTCAATTCCATCAATCAATGGTGTTCACGTTGTGGGGAAATGGCTCGTATAAAAAGAGGTTATGGCCTCTCTTGTGCCAGTGAAGTTGGGTTGTTCTTGGATATTCAAGTATACTTTAATTAGTTCAAACAATGGTATCATTTTCTAGCTTGGCCAGCTTCTGCCTGGCTCTCGCCTCGCACGTTTCTGCGACAATCCTCCAGAACGGACAGGTGAAGGAGACCAACTACCCGGATACTTCCATTGACCCGGCCGCACAATCATTCAAGACATATCCCGCAAACGCCACCGAAATCTCCTACAAGGGCCGGTGGGACTCCAAATATGTCTCGTGGTGGTCGTAAGTCAACACTGATCAGATAACAATGAGCTCTCGTGACTTATACAACGATTCCCAGAGCGCCGGGTATCTCATTCGGTTACACTGGGCAGACGGTAGCCATCTCCTTTGGCAACTTGACCGACAATGGTGTTCTCGTGGGCTACCGCATCGGAGGGCTTGACTGGATGTTTACCAACATCACTTCCGGCGCCACACATCTCCTCGTGAGCCCCGATGCTCCGGGCTCGAACGAGACGGCACCCATTAACCCCACCACCTTTGAACTCCGGGTCACCAACTGGGCGTATGGGGTTCAAATCGAGGCCGTCCACGTTGCTGAAGGTGAGAAGTTGATCAAGATCCCGGATTTTGGCCGTCGCATCGAGGTCATTGGTGACAGCCTCGCCGCGGGCATGTACACCACATATGAAGGGCTGTCAAGCTGGGCTTAGTATGTATCACCCCCTTAGGGCTGGGTACGAAACAACAGTACTGACGACTCCCAGCGGTCTCGGCGCCGGGTTGGGCAACACGGAATACACTGTCACTGCGTACCCCGGAATTTGCGCAGCGGACCAAGACTGCTGGGGTAACCCGCGGGGGCAAGCTCATCAGTGGTTCTACACCTCCGATACGAGCTACCGCGCGTCGGTCATTCACGGTGGTCGGTTCACCCCTATATCCCATCCCGTAGCATTTCTCACACCTGGTAGATAACCCGGAGCCCTGGGACTTCGAGAACCATCCGGCCGCCGACATCGTGGTCATCAACATCGGCACCAACGACAACAACGAAGCGAACAATGTCACCACGGAAGCATACATCGACGGCCTAACTAAGATCATCCAGGGGGTTCACAGCAAATGGCCTAAAGCCCAAGTCGTGGTTTGTGTATGGCACTCCTCTCCTGACACAGCTAGCTAGCTGCCCCTGAGCCCCCTCAAGCTGACACCCATCGTAGTCTCTCTGGTTAGGCTTCCATCAATCCGGCAACTCATTTTCCCCCGAGTGGACAGATGGCTGGGTCAATGAGATCTACGACCTAGTCCAATGGTAACCTCCCCCCTCCCTCTCCCATCTCCCTATCCCCTTCAACTACCCCCAAACTCACCGCTCACCCAAACAACAGGTTCAACTCGAAAGACTACCTCAAAAACCCCACCATATGGGACGGCGTCACCAACACGACGTCAACCACGGGCAAGAAGTCGGACCCCTTTGTCCACTACTTCAACACCACGGGCATCCTACAGCACAACGATATTGGGCCGCAGTGGCACCCTACCGATGTCGGCGCCATTAAGGTTGCCAGCCATCTTCAACAGTTTATTCGTATTAAGTTTGGCTGGGACCTTTACGCTACGGGGCCAGAGTAAGTTTCTCGCTGTCTTTTGCCATGGATCGTGCCTGGAGTAGGTAGTTTTGTTGTGGGCGATGAAACTGATGTGAGCATCGCAGGATCTTCCATGATACGCTTTATTGGAACGATGAGCAGAGCTACTGAGATGGACATGTTTGTGATGGAAGGGGCGAGATTGGCAGGTTGCCACACTGTCCGTCGAGTGGGCGAGCCTCGATGGGAATTGTAAATAGTCTTGGGGCAGGGCAGTTGTTGAGGTCATATGTAAATATCTGGAATCAAGGACTGAGTCCACATGAATTAACCCATATTCTTTAATCAAGAAACTGCTAACCACGGATCGCCCACAACGGTGTCAACGAATATGGACCGGGTGTTATACAAGCAGTCCTTTTCATTTCTGAACGTATGCTTGTTCTCATAGCATTGCGTACAACATTTGCTCACTCCTCACGATCTCCGACAGACACCAACTACAAACACAACGCTCTTGGTCCCAAGGGCAGATGTGGGCTCTCTAGTACAAGGGGTACGAGACTCGAGTGACCACTCCGTGGATATTGTTATGCTATCTTTCTACCAACAGTATCAACCTTCCATCTCACCTCATACACTCACAAACCCTGGTTTATCCCAGAGGTGAAGTGAACAATGTAATACCGCCCGGGTGTGTTCTCTACTTAGTCACTGACATATTACACTTGCCTTTCCCCTTTGCGGTAAGTTTACCTCGTAGGGATAGGGGTGACAAATGGATTCACAAAGTCAACAAGCAGGAATACTGTCATAACCCCACGGGTCAAAGACAAGACCTACCGGTGGAAGCTAGCCCCCACAAAACGGTATGATGCGAACCTTCTCTTGACAAGGCGGCTGAAGGTGTTCACACTAGTTGATAGACGACTGTGCTCGCATTCTCCGCGGGATGCTCGGCTGAGCGGAGAGCATTACCAACCTCCTGAATCGACCCGAGAGCGTGGAACAAATGAGGCATGTGGGGATAACACCACCACGTAATGCCGCGCAAACATCGCGAGACTATCATTGTGAGCGGCCTTCTCGCGTCCAAGATGGTGTCAGTTGTTTCCTCATGAAGAAGACTACTTCACGTTCATCTCCTTGAGGGGGAGGCTGTGCTCTCATCGGCGTTTGGGGGATGATTAGAATGTGTCCGGTATCCCCTCAATTCATGATGCCACCCCACTGCGAGGAGTCGTGAGGTTGAAAGTGGAAATAACGATCGATACTTTGGAGGCCTCGCGATTCTTCGGCTCGTGTTTCTGAGCTCTGCCTATTGGCTGATGGGAAGATGGTTCCTGCGCGGGCCGTCGGGGGGGGGAGCCTGGACAGGTACCGTGTACATTGTGTACATTCCCATGTGTTTTCGTTCGCAAACGAAAGCGATGTGCCGAGCAAGGGTTACTGATGCTGTTGTGGTCCAACTACGAGGACCCGCGAGGCTGGGCTCATCATTGTTGGCGTGTTTGATCGAGAGACAAGAGCAGATTCGAACCTCGGGAGCCGACAACCCTGTCCCTGAACGCGGATGTTGATCTTCGCCATTTTCAAGGGCCGCCCCCCGAAACCCCGGAGGGTGTCAGCCAGCCAGAACCCGGCCCCCTCGCGACGACGAGGGCAGGGGACGGGGCACGGCCGGGACGAATGCGCCCATTCGAGCCCATCAACCCTTGGATTCTTGGAAACACGCATCGTCACGAGAAACGATGTGATGCTGGTGGATCTGAGGCCCATGTGCGGAGGAGTCGAGACTGGTGATCACGATCTTGCGCCGTTGCTGACGAGCTTGACGGCCGTTGTCGGCCTGCCCGTGCCTTGTGCTCCATGCTTGCTGTGGTCGTCACGCAAAAGTCGCAATCGATTGGATCGCTTAAGGGTGTTGGATTTGCCGAGATTGAAGCTTAAAACGTTCCTTGTCGAGATCATGACGGTTGCACATGGTAAGACATGGATGAGACACCGAAAAGGCAAAACAGGCGAGCCACAAACTTCGACGCTCGGGACGAAGCGAAAGAGAAAGGAGCGTACCAGCAACCGACCACGCGTTGGGGTGCCATCGGCCCTCGATTCCCATGGGGTCATCCATTCACCCCGCGCCTTTGAGTGCGGAAGGCCGCTTCTGACGGCAAGGAACACGAACGAGAGATCTTTCCTAATTGTGCTGCCATCTCCGAAGGATGGTCAGGAGATGACCCAAGCGCCAGGCCCGGTTCGGTCGCTTTCGCTCGTTGATTTTCAGCGCTTCGGAGGAAAATGGAGCTTCGATTCGGCTTGTTTCCCGTCTTGTCCGAAAAACTACCCGACGAACACCCATTCCAGTCCATGCGCAGTTGCTCGCGGCGCGGCCGAGATGATCATCGCAACGACCTGCACCAAGCAGGACACTACACTACCCCCCCTCCCCTAAAACCCCGTTCACCATTCAAGCAGTCAGCGACTTCCATGCATTTCTCAACCGAAGAACCGTTAATTTTATGCGTCCCCGATGGCCGCAACGCCCTGGAATCGAAACAGGTCGGCGGGGACGAGCGTTGGTTGCAAGGGGTTACCCTTGCGCAACATTAACCCTAGATCAGGGTTAGCTATGGGAAGAAGAAAAAGTTGAGTCTAACCCCTGTTGTTGACCGGCTCCCTTACCTCGGTAGCTGGCCGACCCGCGTATCAAAAGAGGTTTTGACACGGCCCGTCTGAAACAGTCACAATCCAACCCTGTCACACAATGGTGGCCCGCGCATCGTTCAATCCAGCAAAGAGAAGGGGCATCAGTTGAGCTTTCTTTTTTCTTCTTCTGGCCAGCCGAGGCGAGGCTACCGGACAGCCTCGTTAGTGAGCGAGGGAGAAGTAGCGAATCGAAACTGAATCTGGAGTCGGTCAGAAACTTGGAAAATTGTTTGTCCCCATGGCTTGGCGTTTGCGCCTTTTCCAGCATGCCGGGATGCCCTCTCCAGCTGTGCGGAACTCTTTTCGAGCTCATTTCCTCAGGACCTATTTTTACCCATATCACATCTGTGTGATGACAGCTTGTGCGCTTGGCCGTTGGGGGGTTCTGAAAAGTCCCTCCAGCTCTGCTGCACCTCCACGTCAATTGTGGTCGAATTGCAGAAAGGGAAAAGACGTGTCTCAAATTTCTAGTTAGTGCATGCAATGAGATGGGTTTGGTGAGATATCTTCGGGTGAGGGATAAAAAAAGGACTCAGCCACCTAACTAGTGAGCTAGTGTATGGAGAAACCCCATTTCCCGACCGATGCCTCTTGCGCGCAAGACCCGGGAACATGGATGCGGGAACGGTTGTCGGTGGTCTGTGCTAGCGGTGATGGCGTCGTTGACTCGTTGACTTCGAGTTTAGCGGGATGATCTTCGCGGGCGCTTTCGGCGCCACGCAGCGCGCCATCGTTTCAGCCCTTGCGACGAGTCTCTGAGAGGCTTCGAAAGAGGGTGATCTTGACGATCTTCCCGGGGAAGTGCGGAAACGTCGGGGGTGTTCTTTTCAGCTTGAACCTTGATCACGTATTCTAGCCAGCATACACTAGTGTAGTGTACGTGGACTACAGATTACACTAGTAGAACCACCAATTATGAGATGAGAGAGCGCAAGTTCAGGCGTGAAGGCCTGAGTCGTGACAAACTGGGCCCGGGGATAACATTATGGCTGAAGAGCATCTAGGAAAGTTTCCGTCGACGCTTGGATGGGAGTGTGATAATGGGGCTGGATTTTGTGGAAAATAAAAATCTTCAACACGCACAAAATGGGAAACGGCGATGGGGAAGAGAGATAAAGAGAGCTAAGCGATAACTCCGGAGGTAATAGTCAAATGTGGTACAAGGTTGTGGCATTGTCGAGAAGGGAAGGCACATCCCGTCTCCCCCAACGTTTTCAAATATACGATGCACTGCATCGACCAATTTCCCGCCTAGGAGTTTTGGTAGCTTACGGCATCCAGAAAAATCTGCAAGTGATTACCGACACTGGGAAGAAATTCATGAAAAACCACCCACCCCCCCCCCCCCCCCCACGCTCCAAGCTGAGGTTCCTCGTTTGGGCTTCAAGAGCTCGTGAAAATTGAAAGAAAAAAATACTCTAGAGACTGACTGCTGTGATACTAGGGATCAATTACTCGAAGACAGGAAGTCATTCCAAAAGTGAAAATAATGGCCGTCTGGTTGAGAAAGCGCCTGCAATGATCCTCGCAGATCCATGCAGACCCCGACGGCAGTTGCTCCGGGACGACAAACGTGGCCTGTGGATGCATGCTTGACATGTGCGTGCCTCGTGCCGCAGAAAGAGAGAAGGGGGTGAGCTGGGAAGAGGAGAGGGCGGGAAAGATGGCATGGATGGGGCCTGTTCAGCATCGGCATGCTGGAATCTGCGCCCGCGGCGATCAGTGAAACAAAAGATCTGGGCTGCAGCTTGGCCAGGCAAAATTTGGCAATGGGGCCACTCTGGTGTGCGTGGGGGGGGATAACTTGCAGCCGGTGAAGGTGTTGCTACCCCCCGGCTGACCTCCCGAGCCCTGTCCACTTTTTGATACTCTCGTCGTCGATTTGCTCGATGCTCGATTCTCCCAGAGCCCAGCTGCAAACCTGCAGCGAGCGCCCCAGAGGGCGCGATCCCGGTTTGCACACGACTCATCTTCCGCCACCGAGCTTGACGATCCCGCAACGCAACCTGTTGGTGTTGTGGGTGTGGGATGTGGGAGCTTGTAGCCACCTACATAAAAGCGAGGGGTTTTCCTTGCTGTGGGTGTTCCGTTCTGTCATCTTGAACTTCCCATCACCCCCCCCATTCCACGCCTCGTGGCGCACACTAGCTTTGGTGCCCGCGACGAGGGAAAGGGAAGGGGGAAAACCCCTCAATATCCCCGTTCTTTGCAATTCCCGGGTCCCGATGCAGTGGTCTCGAATCGCTTGCGCAGCCATGATCCCAGTTCGCGAACGTGTGGGATCAAGCAGCACGCTGTCATGGGATTGCACCAGTTCGTTCTCCACGGTGTTGCCCCGTCTCTGAAATCCATCACATCTCACATCGTGCCTTGTAGGTGTGATGCTGTGCCTCGGGCGTGCGTGTATGGTGGATGAACGACACACTCACCTCTTTCCTGCAGAGTGCTTGCGATGGCACGGTGGCCACGCAAAGTCCGAGGTTGATTTGCTCCTCCAGTCGTAGTGTCTGCTTTCGCTTCTCGGCCGTCGGAAGCTGGTCCGGACGGCATGATCATCAAATCAGCGGCGCGCTTCAACGCCCCCCATAGCGCTTGGTTGCCATCAAATTGCACCCTGCCACTGCCCTGGCGACACCCCCTCTTCTTCTCGTGCCATGCTGGATCGAGAAAAGCGTGGCTCGCACGCGGCGTTGCTGATCGCTGATCGGCGGTGCATTTCTGCATTGCTGCCCCGTCGAAAATCCCCTGCTTTCTTCTCGCCAAACGGTTCCCCATTCAGCATGAGATGTGCGGGGCCTTGGCAAGAGGGGAGAGGGGAACAACAAGTGGAAGGAAGAGAAGAATTCGGGAGAGCAAGGGGTGTGTTTCGGCGCCGACCGACCCTTCGCAAGACGATCGACGATGATTGGCAAAAAAGGACGATGAGATCGGCCTGCAGGAATGCGAAATTGGGAGCGCCTGCCGAAACTCCAGAAGGGAAGTCAAGCCAAAGAATTTAAGCGTACGACAAATGACTGAGAGACAACACAGGTGGAGGTCGGATCAGCTGGATCAGCTCTCCAAGCCTCTCAACGCTGGCGCCAGAAGCACGCTAGAACAGCACCAAAAGAAAAGGCAGTGGGCCAAAGGCCTAAGGCTGACGAAATTAAGACAATGTTTAAGACACAAAGTTCCAACAGGTCGTTTTCGGGATGGGAAAGGGTGACGAAAACACCAGCACACGACAGAGTGTCTTCTACGGTATATGCACACGAGAGGACGGCCTATGGGAAAACACGCGTGTCAGCGAGAAAGGGAGATGGAAAGGGGTCCGTTTGATGCACGCCCCCGACCCACCAGCACGGACATTGGAGGTGGTTTTTGGCAGCAGCAGGCGCAGATCTTGCTGCACCTGTCGTCACCAGCGGCCCCCAACCCCGAACCTGGTTGAGGGTTTCCTGTTGGACAACGTGTGCACGGTGCAACGGTTTTCCCCAATCTCTCGGCTTCCAAACAAGCGAGGCACTAACTACCAAGCTCCCACCAACGAGGACTTTTGTGAAGAGAAAAAAAGAAAAAAGAAAAATACCAGGGGGTGAGAGAGGGGGGTGGTTCTGGTCGTGGCTGCGCCTTCTCCAGGTGTGATGATCGACGAGAGCCACACCTTTTCGAGGCGCCCTCGGGAAGCTCATCGCGGGCCGCTTGTCATCCCTGGCAGGGTCATTTCCCTCGTCTTTTTACCCAATATTTGCGATGCACTCTGAGCGGCTCATCGTGTTCTTCAATTTCTCTTATTTTTTGCACTGTATTGTAGTGTAGTGTACAGTACGTATACTCCCGCAGGGATTTTTCCTTGTTCCACACATGCATGGCGGTTTGTCATCTCGTCATGTTCGAAACTTCGATGTTGCTTCCCCCACTCCACCATCAGATGGGGAAGAGATCACATCAAATAACCGAGCTCAATCACCCGCCGGGAACGCCCTGCGGATCTGCGATTATCCCTGCGCCGTGGGGTACCCAGCCAGGGGTTCAGATCCGTTTCGGCCGGCGGCGCCGGGCTAACTTGAGGAATTCCAGTCATGAAGACTTCCCAAAAAGCGGTCTGATTATCGCGAACGCAGGAAAATACACACAGCGGGCGAGATAAAGAGCGTTGTTGGTGAGATCGGAGTAAGAGAAAAATAGTGATTTCCTCACCGTCTTCTTTTTACCTGTGGCATCTTCTAGCTGGGCTCCCAGTGGAGAAATTGTCAAGTTGCCCGGCTGGCGCTTTCCACTAACGTTAGCGTCAGCCGGGGGCCGTCATCTGCTTGACCCGTTGGCATCGTCTCACCCATGGCTTGCAAACCTCCCGATCGCTTGGGAATCCTCTGGCAACCTTGAACACGATCGAGCTAGGTTCCAGGGCCATTGGATTCATGGTTCGGCTTTTCATCCTGGGCGATTGTCATCTCATTTTTTCTTCTCGAAATATTGTATCCTATGCAAATTCATTTACCCTCGTGAAAACAGTGTGTTTCGCTTTCTCGTCGACTCCACCTTGTTCGGTAAGCATCGTGCTCTGATCTGCAGGTCTGGATGAAGTCTTCGCCGGGAGACGTTGGGAGCTCCCTGCCTTCTTGTCGTTTCGAAACGTGATCGCCACGGGAGACACGACATTCAACTTATTCAGCTGGGAGAACAGAGAGACAGACAGTGATACGTTCATGGCATGACATTCATGATTTTTGAAATATTTATTTTGTCTTTTTTTTTTTCTCACTCGCTGTTTTAGCCACCACTTTTCTAACGTAACCCTTGCCTTCTCATCTCGCCCTTAGAGACGAGGGAACAAGTCCCAATACCCTCGAGGGCGTTCGCCCCCTGGTTCTTTCTTCGAATACATTACGTTCCACCCTGGTGGAGTGAACGTGAGTCGGATACATCATGTCAACAAAGGGAATAAACGGACAAAGGAAAATATGTCGAAGCAACCCAACAAAGGAAAACTAACGCCACCATGTAAATGCTGCTCGGGGCGAAAAAAACAACCGCCACCGCCGAACACTTTGTAGTCCCCGCCCAATAAACTGTTGTGCTGCCTTTTGCGCCGTGGGGAATCATCCAAAAACGAAACTGCTCCCTGCCGAACCCGGATATTCCCAGTCTTTTGCCATCACGCCCGCAAGTACCGCTCGCGGGGCCATGCCAAAACAACACACCTCCTATTTCCTCCCCTGCGCCAAACCGTGAAAGTGTGACTGTTTCATCCATGGAACTCCGCCTCTTGAGATGATTGCCGGAAGGTAAAGAAAAGAATTAGAAACTAAAAATAACGCTCATTGGTTGTTGTTTGTAATGCAATGGGTCGCGAATCCTGTACCGCCAGGGTCCGGGATGGGCGGCTGAGAGGTTGAAATACGCCGTCCTTAGCTTGCCATTATACGGGTACAGGTCGCGGATCCGGCTCAGGGACGCCTCCCGCCAGTGTTGTGTTGCTGTTGGAGGTAGAACTGCTGCAGTCGTAGTTGTGGCAGCCGCGCTCGTGGCGCTTCATGTTGCTCCGGACGCTAAAGGCCTTTCCGCAACCTGGGAATGGGCACTTGAATGGCTTTTCACCCGTGTGAGAATGGCTGTGAATGCGGAGGGAGCTGGGACGCGAGAATGCCTTGTTGCAGGTCTGGCAGATGTACCGATCCTGGCTCTGGGGGAACGACGCCGACGCTGAGGGGGCGATGTAGTGGTGGTGTTGCCAGGGGTTGCCCGCGTTGGAACCCAGAGGGATTGGCATTGGCATCGGGGGGAAAGACTGCAGCATACGATTAGCATACCGAACTTTTCGACGGCCGAACAACATCATCATGGCTTGCTTACCTGAGGAAGGGGCCGTTGGTAATAGAGTCCCGACATCTGCGTCTGCGGGGGAGCCGCTGCTTGGATTGGAGGATAGTACGAGGGGATGGCCGACTGGCTAATGTACGCCGACCCCGCGAATTGGGGTTGATAGGTAGTCGAAGACTGGACCGAAGCCCGTGGAATCGTAGCCGCAGTCGATAGTTGCCGTGCATCTGCCTCCAACTGAAGTGGTGGTGTCGCCTCAAAGTAGTAGTTCGACCCATTTGGGACCTGGCTCACGGAGCGTGTCGACGGCGAGTTGAATCCCTCAAAAGACGCATCCGATGACATGGGCGGGCTGGGCGGAAGACCCGCCCTCATCACAGGGTTTCCATAGTGTGAAGAGCTAGGCCGAGTCTCGGGCTTGGTTGTTTGTGCTGGGGCCGGGTCAGTATCTCCATATCCCGTCATCCACCACGAACTGCTCATACATTGCTGTTGCTGTTGCTGCTGCTGCTGCTGCCGTTGCTGCTGTTGTTGTAGCTGCTGCTGCTGGAAAGAGGCTTCCGAAGTGGGTGACCCTTGATCCGCCACACCTAGAAGGTTCGAGATGGAAGGCAGCGAGCACTTGGCGGATTCATCCATGGGCGGCGAGGGTGGTGGCATGTAGCCATATTGGACGCTTTGTTGCGGTGCGTGAGCGTAGTGCGTTGTGATCATTGTGCTTGCCATGTCTATGGTGTGGGAGGAGACTGGAGTGTGTGACCGGAGAAGCGTGGAGTACTGATAGGCCGGATGATGGAGGGGCAGATTATCGGTGGCAGCAGTTTGTCGTTCGTGAGGTATGGAGGAACTTGTGTTGATGTCTTCAGGTCGATGAAAGTTATTGTGCGGTGTTGTGGCTGGATTAGATACTAAGTAGTATGTAGGTCTGCGCCTGGAAAAGAAGCTTGTTGACTTTGGAGTGAATGGGGGGGAGGACCGGGGCGTTTTGTACCATCAGATCTCCCGAAGAACATCTATGGAGAATATGTGGATGATCAAGCGGAAATCCACACGAAATCCACACGTTGATCCCCGGGACCAAGGCGGCCACAAGTGTTGTCACAAATTGGGTTGTGGGTCTGACCGACGGCCTGGGGGTGCTGTGCCAGACCAGGGACCACGGCCCAGGGCCAGCGATGATCAGAGGAGACCACACACCCCTTCCACCCCTCCCCCCTTCGTCATTCCCCAGACCCTTGTCTTGTCTTGTCTTGTGTGGGCGGTACATGGTACATGCGTCCGAACTTTAGCAACTCCTATTAAGACGATTCCGACTCCGGGTGCGTCGGGGAGCGCCCTGATTTGACGCCTGAGCCCAATCTCGAGACCCCATGGCCCCCAGCGTTGCTCCTTGGTGCCTTTGGTGCTCTTGGTGCCATTCAGCACGCGGCGCCTCGAGAAGCCTGCAAACTGAGCGAGGTCGCTCGACAGGCCCCGACCGATATGATTGCCATTGATCTGCCGAGTCCAAACGTCGGAGGCTCATACCGAGCCCAGACTTTCGAACAGGGCGACAGCCACACTTCCTAATGCGCATTTGCGGCCTTCACTAAATGCGGTGGTAGAGGACCGTCTCGCTCGGAATTGTTGATCTCACGAAGTACACTACCAACCGAAAAGAGAGGGCCCGAGACGCCGGAACACTTTTGGTGCTGCGGGCGCGTCGCTTGTTGGCTGCCCGCGCTCGAGCCACGCTAGCCTGGAAAGGTGATACAGCTTTTTGCATTTTCCTGCCGATTGCTGGGGCTTTCTCTCTGAAGCCACACGGGCCACTTGCCCAAACGGGGATTGCTGCCGGACCCGAGGTTTGCCTTTGGAGGGCGGGAGAGTGAGGGAAACGCGGTACGTACCCTCCTCCACAAACCTGGCCGTGTGTGTGGCCGCTTGTAAGAGCTGGGCGGACCCCTGGGCTCGGCACACGGACGCACGAACTTGAGACGAGACATCAACTTCGAGCTCTTGTGCCGGATCACGGGTAAGGCCACCAGGGGTCCAATGCATCGGCTTGTGCTGTGACCGGATGGCTGGGTTAATCTCATGCCGTTCATCATGAAGGCCTCAAACCGCTTTCTCGAAACGGGCATCTCTTGGCATCTTCCTCCGCTTCTCACAAAGCTCTCGTCCGGAATCCTGCTAAGTCACAGGCCGCCGACTCCTGCCTTCGAAGATTTTAACTTGCATGATGTCCCGTGCTGGCTTGTCGTGTTATCGCCATTATTGTTCCGGATGCGCTGCAGGGAGAGGCAGATTGTCTCGCATCCGGTAAGATCCGGGAAAAGGTCTATGTTTTGGTCTCATGGGCGTCTAGAAACGCAGATTATCCTTTTTCGGCGCCCAGCCCATGACTAGAACGGTGCCTTTGACTCCACGGTGATTTGTCAAGTTTAGCATCGACGACAACAGCCGGGAACGAGAAGAAATCGCGAGTGGAAACGGGATATAGGTGTTAGAGGCAGTTCTTAAGAGCTTCACGCCTCTGTCCCGTCCGTTGCGCGTTTGATCGAGAGATTTCGACGACGCCCTGTCTAGATGGTGGTATGTGCCAATACTGTGTATGGATAGAGGAAAGAGGCGGATCATCATCATGTACGTATCCCGAAATCCACGTGCGGGCGCCCGGTGAGGCGAGGATGGTTTCGTTTGCAGGGCCGCCGTTGGTCCATGCCTTGGCTTCTCAACTAAAACCGGCGCAAAGGCGCCAGCCGGGCTCCTGGCAAAGAAAAGCTCATGCGCGACAGCCTCCCTGCGTCAGTCCCGTTTGTCGAAGAAACACCTGTTGATCTCGGAAACAAAAGTTAATTATCAGTGATCACCCGTATCGTCGCTGAAGTCCCGGCGGAAGTGGATTGACGGTTGGGTGCAGGGTCCTTGGTCTTGACAGTAGCGAGACTTGAAGTTGGCCGGGGTCAAGCCGGAAAGGATGCAGCCGCCTGTCTGGCCCTGTGTTTGACATGCGGCAGGGGCGAGCAAAACAACGCAGAGATGGTGCCGTTGATGTCCTTGGTGCGCTTTGGGCTGCCAGGAGCTTAAACCAGGGACGAGAGGGGTCAACGATGGTCTTGTTGTGCCACATCCGTGCCGCATCCGCGGTCCGCTGCAGGCCGACCCAGCCCCGGATCTGAAGATTCCATTCCATCTTCTTGACCAGACGAAGTTCCTGCCAGTCAAAATAGTCAACACCAGGACAGCAATCGCTCGGACGTCGCGGCGTGCCCGAAGTTGGGATGACATAACGGCGGATGCAAGCCGACTTGAGATTTACCTGAGGATCCAACGGGCCCACGCATACCCGACACATCCCCTACCGCCAGTACAAAAGAGACAAGAAGATATAGAGTAGCAACCGGCCTCCCAAATTGTCGCAACGGAAGCAGGGGGAGCCGAACGAAGCTTTCACACAACACTCATTGAGGCTGTTTCAAGACACACCACTCCATGTGGCGAGAATGACGAGAATGACGCTTTTGGAGTGTTTTCACGGCTCTCGGACCGGAGCCTAGATATTTTACCCAAGCAGCTAAGGTATGTAGGTAAGTACTTCCATGCCTACTCTCAGGACACGAGGCAGGCGCGGGCGTTTGTAGTCGTAGGGTGACGCAACCCAACTTCAGCTGCCTTCCGACATTCAGCACGAGTAACGTGGGAAGAAAATACCCGGTATTGGAAAGAGAAACAGCGAGGGGGCTTATTGCTCCTTCCATATTACCTACTTTATGAGTGAAGATCATACGAGCTCGGATTGGGAAAGTGCTCGCCTCATGTGCACCTGCCCTCGGAACACCCAACGACAACATGCTAGGACAAGACAATTTTCACGCACCTGCGGTTTGCCTGGAACTCCCACCTATAGCTGGCACTTCAAATCTACCTACCTAGGCAGACACCTGTAGTTTTTCCACCTCATGGATTCGGTAACTCAGAACCTTACTTTGCGCAGACGATTATGCGAGCGTTCTCGTTTCCTCAGTCCGCCGCATCTGGTCTCAAAATCGGGGGTCCCGGACCGACTTGTCTGAAGATACACTCGACAGACCCGGAGCCCCGAGGTCAAGATTCCGGCCGGGGCCCGATGCGGACCCGGTACCCGCTGGATATGGCCCGATGAAGACCAGCTGCAGCCCGCCGGGCGTCCCCTCAACACCATTGATTCGTGTCACCTTCCCCGGGTCTTTTCGTTCTCGGCCAGCCGAAGTTCCAGGCCCGTTTGTCGACCAACTTCTGCGGCAGGCTGCGGCACAGAACCTTGGTTCGAAATCCCGGCCAAAAGTCAAGTGTGTTTGACTGCTTTACCACAATGCGCCGCTGGTCCTTGCGCGATCGGTTGATTGTTCATTGGATTGTTCGTCTATGTCCCCAATCAGATCTCCTCCACCCCGCTAATTTGCACAGGGAATCGAAGTTCCACGAGCAACCCAGCAAACGGCTTCGGTCCTCTTGTTTGTCACGGAATCCGTCCCGACGAAGTCCAAGGTAGCCAGGGCAATTGTACGTAAATAAGCAACAAGGAATTACCGCCGACTCCCATTCCCGATTGAAACCCATCTCACACCCAACTCCAACTCGTATCGATCCATGGTTCTGGCTCCGGGAACAAAGTGGGCGTGCTTCGCAAAGTCGTCAATTGCTGTTCATAGGACGGATCATATACACCAGCATCCCGGCTTTTCATCTCCTCGCTCTTCGGTGACGGCCACGCCCCGGATGACTTGAGGATTTGGCCCAATTGATGAAGGTGGTTTCGCCCTGTAAGCAATACCGGTTTCCCAAACGACATGAACCCGCCACGCAGACGATCGACGCAGCCTTGGCTTCACACGGCTCGCTTAGCTCCTGGACAGGCTTCAGTACCCTTTTAGGAATAGTTCACGATCGACGACCGTTTCCCACACTTTCGGCTCGGGAAATATGCCACGCTGCGCCCGCATGTCATGTCACCAAACTTCTAACCACCTTCCTCTTTCGGATACAACCATCCAGCCATCGACGGCCCATTCACGATAGAACCTGCTCTCAATCACAACTCCCACCCGGTCCTCCGTGCCTCCCAATCGCCCTGTGAAGCGGCGAGGCTGGCTCGAGGCTGGTTGAGGTTTTTCTCTGTATTCAAGCTCCGATTCCTTGGTGCTTCCTTTGCCCGGGGCGTCTACACTACGGTTCTTGTTGAACAGGTCCAACGAAAATCCATGTTCGCTCGGACTGGAAAAGGCCGCGATGGAACTACGGGAACTACACTCTCGTGTAGGCCTGTGGCCTTCCCGAGTCCACACTCGGCCACATACCTTCGCGAAGAGTTGCGTTACGGATCTCTTTGGTTCAAGCTCTGACGCCGAACTCTTTTCTCGCTCACACCTCCAACGCAGCCCAAGGAGATCTTTCCACGAAGGGTCCTGTGGCCTCCACGGGTTGCGATGGATTTGTGAAAAATTTGTCGATCACCACAACGGGGGCGACTCATGAGACGATGCTCCAGGTCGAAATCCCCGGTTGCACTTTGAGGGGCCGGGGCCTGAGATAGCTTTTGAAAGTAGTGTCAATCAATTTGGCTGTCATTCACTTTCACATCGGGGCGTTTTACGTGTCTCACTAAAGAATGCCGGGTCCATGAAATCAGATCACGAGTTCAAGTCCTCGCTCGCCTTCGGGACCAGTGAAGGTGTGACATACCTGATCAAAGGTCTCAACCTGTC